AGTCTCGCAACTCGTGCGGTGCAGGCTCTTTCTCGAGCTCTATGTTGGCGCACTTGTTCGCCTCAGATGGCAACGAAGTTAAGGGCGGTCGAGTAGCCTGCCCAAAAACGTGGGGAGGTAGAACGCCGTCTCTGCCAATGGATATGGCACAAAGAGAGCAACTCCCAGACGATGGTGGGCAGCACGCGGAACACAAGGAAGTGCGGCACAACGAACAGGTTTGGAAGCATGGAGGTGTCCCGGGGATGCTGGACTTGACATTGATGTTGCATCGAGGGCAGACCCTCTCCTCAGCGGAAGATCGGCGAAGGTCGGGAGCTCCAATACCGCCGACACCACCGGCGCCATGCACACCCTTACCGAGTCCCGGTGGAAGAGAGAAACCAGCTGGCCCGCCAGAGATATCCTGTACTCCGTGGTGAGGCTGTGGATTCTGCTGATTTGTCACAGCAGTGTCAGGCCCGTATCTTCCGCGAATGACTCCCTGAGATGTTCCATGCTCAACCTGACCAGTGAAAATCCCCCCCGTAGGGGAACATCCGGGATACGTGTTGATGGTTCCCCTCGGAGCTGCTCGCCCGACTACGGGCGATGACATTGCCCTCGGCGGCATTGGCCCGGCGGCTCCGGCGTGGGAACAGAAACCAGAGTTTCCTTGTTGCGGTTCAGGACTCCGATGTGACGGATCTCCACGTGATGGCCCGGATCCAGGATCAGGAGCAGTGCCATCCCGCTGATTATGGTCAGGAATGCAACCAGGTCCTCCAGGTCCCGCACTAGGACCACGATGCTTAGTTTTCCCATCGGGGTCAGCCCTCAAGCAGCCGAGGCAAATAGGTCGAACATCTGACCCAAAACGGCGCACATCGTCAGGTGAAGCGATGTGTTGATCGCAGTACTCATCCTTGCATATGAGACACGTCACAAGTCCGTGTCTCCCCCCTCTTCCCCTGCATGCGCGGCATCTAGGAAACTGATCGCTACATTTGAAACATGAGTTACAATCATGGTCAAAGCAGTCTTCGCAGACTGACTTGCCGCAGCTTCACGCTGTGGATGCCCGGGCTCCTCATGAGCGCACCTGGCCCGGTTATCAGGGGCAGCGCCGGCAGCCCGAGCAACGGCCCTCGTTCTAGAGGGATCCCTGCCAAAGATGGGGGCTGATGGTGACGGTGGGGGTGGCCCTGAAGGAGGTGGAGGTGGAGGAGGTCTCGCCGAGCTGACGATGCGAGCATCACGAGGAGGAGAACCTCTAGGAGCCCTTCCCTGGGTTAAGGGATCAGTGTCTCCAGATTTCTCCCATGGCCCCGTCCCGGTGATCGAAGCAGCGCCAGCACTTGAAGATGCGCAGGCAGCAGGAGGTTGTTCCCTCAATTCAGCGATCTGCATGTTGATCTCATTGACCCTCAACACAAGCTTCATAAACTGCTCTTGCATGTCCCTCGGATAGGGGCCTAGGCTTTTATCATGAAGGTCCTTGACGCACCTAGCAATACGGGACAATTGAAGCTTGAACTCTTCCTGTTTCTGTGAGTTCTCATTGAGGGCTCCGGACATCCTATCACTGAACTGCTTCAGGTCGGTCGCAGGAACGAGCTGCTGGATATACGTCTCGACGTTCCCACGGATGGTTCTTTCCCTTGAGATGGTTCCCTCAATGTCAATGACACTGCGAGAGTTCGCCTCAACTTCGTCCTTGATTTTTCGAACTTCAGCCTCAAGGGCCCCAATCTCAGAGAACCTAAGGAGCTGGACCTTGACGTTTTCAAGTGACTCGGCCTGCTCGCGAAGTTCAGCAGCGGATATGACGATCGAGTTGGACCTCTCATCATACATCTTGAAACGCTCATTCATCTCCTTCTCGCTTCGGGCGACCCACTCGTGGAAATCGCGGAACTTGGCCTCGTGTCTTGAGAGGGTTCCGGCAACGGCAGAAAAAGATGATTCAACCTTCTTCTCGAAGGCATCAACACGGTTATTGATCTTCATGATTTCACCGACGCAAACGTTGATGTCATCCCTGCATGAACGAATCTCAGTTCTGCATCCCTGGATTTCGGCCTTGCATCCCTTGACCTCGTTGTGGATCGCGAGAAGCAGTCGCTGTAGCTCAGATGCAACCGGATGGCCGTCACTTGTGGATGCAGACGGGGCAGGACGACTATCAGCGTCATGAGCTCCACGCCTATTTTCTTCCCTGTCAGGAGTGCAGCCGGGAGTCCCGATTTGAAAGAATGCAGGGATGAGGGAGTTGCTAACAGTGCTAAGTCCGGGTCTCCGGTTCCTGGGCGTAGAGTTGATCCCGTCATCAGTCTCCTTCTCAGACATCGGGGCATTGGAGCTGAGCCCAGACCCCGCAGAGTGGATAGGAACGTCAACAGGATCGTGATGAGCTGGGGGATTAGATCGCAATCGGAGGGCAGCTTCACGTCTTTCGGGTGACTCAGAGCTCCTCTTTGTGGCTCGCGAGTCAGTGCCGGTTTGTCCCGACATGTTATCAAACGATGACGATCCGCGATGTTGAGCTTGATCTGGATCAGGTTGAGTGAGATCAAGCCGTTGAGCAACGTCATCATTGAATGGCTTAGGGGAAAGTACTTTGGCAACGCGGCTCGGCGGGAGCGATGTCGTTCGTCTCTCTGGTGTGACCTCGGCCTCATCGATTACATCGAGGATCCCAGGGATGGTTTCATCATCTTCATTTCCTCTCCTGGGTGGCTGATGGAAGGGAATGTCGAGAAGGTCGAAGGGAGTAGAGCCAATACCAGGTGTATCCTGCTCGGATCCATCACTGGTACGGTGGCTGGACTGCTCCTCGAGGTCGATGACGTCGGGGGCGGACTCTTTCCGAGTCTGATGCCGATTGAAGGCCGCGAAGAGACCGGCATGGCTTCTTGACGAAGTGGTTTGGGCCTGCTATTTCGCGGCCCGTGTCCGATCGATGAGTACCTGATGCTTGATTTGGCGGATTTGAGCCCGCGTTGTAGCGGTTCGCGTCCCGACCTCGGGTACCTGAGGAAAGCGGTGGATTAGGACCAGCGTTGTAGCGGTCCGCATTCCGGTCGCGGGTACCTGACAAGTGAGATGATACTGCATCAGGGATGAAGTCCATATCCGCCGGACTGGGGTGATCGTGAATGATGTCAATGTCGGATGAACCTGAGACAGGAGGAAGGCCAGCTATTTGCGGCCAATCCTCAATCGCCCGTTTGCCCGCCTCGGGTTGGGCCGAACCTGCAACTTGAGAAGGGGAGAAATCTTCAATGGGGTCATTTTCTCCATCATGCGGAAAACCCTGAGTAGGTTCATGCATAGGCAGGGCATCAAAAGATCTGTCAATTCGGGAAGGTTGAGATCTCCAATCAGCATCAAAAAGGGATTGAAAATCCAGATTCCCGACCGACATGGGGGCACCCGAGTCGAAGTCGAGCCGACCGAAATCAGGCGGTGTAGCCTGCGATCCACTGCCGAGGAGCTGGTCAAACTGATCCCATGTAAGGGACCAAGATTGAGCCGGCTCTTGATGAGCAGCATGATGGGCAGCCCGATCTTCGATCTGGAGCGCCACGAACGGAACAGTAGGCGAAATCGACGAGGGCACCTGATTTGGAGGAACCTCAGCCTCTTCTAGAGGGGGTCCGTCCTCGATCTGGAGCACTGCCGCCGGGATAGGGGCCTCCGCATCCTCATCAAACACGACCTGAGAAAGGATCCAATCGTCCGTGATCACCCAGGGATTGGGCTCTGCGCCCACCATCGGGGGAATGGGCCACAGCCGTCTAAGCCGGGGGCAGCATGCGCGGCGTTGCCGCGAAGGGCGTTGGCCTCGTCATCCACGAAGCCCGGCCCACGATGTGAAGCTCCGGGGGACGCCATTGCTCGTACAAGTAGGCGATGGGAGCAGGTAGCGGGTCACGTCCCGCAACCGGATCACCAGCCCCAGCTTCTAGCTGGTACGGCTGATAACCTGCGGTTTTGGGCGAACACGAAGTAGCCCAGGGAATCAAAGAGGTACACGTGATCCACGAAGTACCAAAAGAACCCAGTCCCAACGCACAATGGTGAAGTTGCTGATGACCAGGTTGAGGGAGTGACAGTTGAAGAAGATCAAGTTTGGGAGGGTTGGAAAACAGGTTACAACAGAAAGTGAAGTTCAGAACCAGGCCCAGGAAGTCCTCGACGACCAGCCACCCACCACCTAACACCGGCCGCGGCAGCACCAGGACCTTTTCCCGGTGATGACGCAAGCCGCCGTGCTATGGCGGATGCACGCAGATCCGAGGGACCCCTGACGGGAGGTTTAAACTTGAGCCAAACGGCCATTCGGCCGTTTTGCCACATGAAGAAACAACACGTGAACAAAACACAGTTTCAAAACAGGGTGTGGGGGTGAGATTCAGATTAGCCAACGCTTCATTTGAGTTTGTCTCAAAAATACGGAAATATCCACCCAATTCCGTACATGTGTGTTTCTTTGGATGGTGATCCCCTTTCTGGTAAGGCAACATGCGAGTTTTAGGTGTTCTTTCAATCCGGCTTTAGGGAAGCACCAAAACTTGTGGTTGCCCCTCAATGTCTCAAAATACAACCCACAAAGGGTACCATGTACGGAAGACGCACCCACATGGTCGGAAAAGGCAGGGGAAGAGCAAGGAATGGACACCCTCAAAGGCGAAACCGAAGATGAGGATGAGAGAAAGTGGTGAGATTCGATGGGGTCACCGACATTTGGATGTCCCCTACACGCAAATGTATAATATAACCCAGGAGTTACCTATTGAAATTGGTGAACCGCCCTTGGGATGGGGCCCGAGATAACCCAAAACTGGAACTATGGTCCAAACAAAAAGGTCGCCAAGGACCCCGAAAGGCAAAGCGGCAAACTAAAAATGGCTGGCCTGGTCGTTTGGAGACGTCTCGGTGACACGCCTGCTTTGCTCGGGTTTTCCCCCCTGGGGGAGCAAGGGCTCGTATGTGGCTTCTCCCTGAATGGGCCCCGCCTGACTGGTACAGCAGTTGGCCCGTCTCGTAGCACTTGGGGGTCAGCGCCAGTGACAGCAGCAGCGGCAGCCGGGGCGGGGTGGCGATCACGAAGGGCACACGCAGGAACCTGGCGGAGTGAAGTCCATGCTTCCGGCCTCCGAAAAGGGCTGGACACGCAGCCAAAACCACGGGTGGTGTTTGTGAAACCCGTTGGTTACATTTTGCAAGGGGCTGTTGTTGTTACTAGGGAATCACAAAGCAGTAGCACAAAATCAAATAGGCGCCGCGATTGCCTGGTGGTCCGAAAGAAATCAAACACAAGCGGAAGGCAGTTCTTGGTGAGCAGCATTAAACATGCAACACAAACAACTAGTGATCCCTCCCACCTCTGACTCCCAGCCACCTGACAGACTAAAGTCTGAAGACAAAAGGAGCATTATCTTCCACGGGGTTCCCCAGCTTCCACGCAAAAGCAAGATACGTGATGCGTCCGTTGCGTTGCAGTGCATTGCTACTGTCAGCGGGGGAACAGCTGCCCCTTTTCTGCTTGAACTCCGATTCAGTCGCAAAGGCAGGGATCGCCATATGTGTGTGTGTGTGTGTCCCGATTCAATGGCCCATCCATGAGGTGTAGAAACCTGCCTGTCAGCAGGATGAATCAACCCCCTAAGGGTCATGAAATGCACTCACTTGTCCGAGTTGCTAAAAGAAAAAATGAAAGGATATGAAAGGAATACGAGGCCCAACAACCATGCCACTGCCTCACTCATGAGTGGAAAGAACCAACATGCGGCACATGACGCGCCATCCTTTACCCGAGTAGTCGGCTACTTCACAAATGAGGCCCTGACAGAAGTCGAACCTCTGCTTTTGCCAGGGCTATCCCACAGGTCCGCCAGGGTCCTAGAGCAAGTAGACCATGCCTCCCAACTGCCCCACGCCAGCCTGTTGCGACCCAGCTGCCCGTGGTACAGTCGGCTGTGCAACTCTTTCCTGGCATCCATGTCGCGGGGTCGCAGGGTTTGTGGGGCCAGCGCCTCCTTCCTCTCTCTCCCTCCCTCCCTCCCTCCCTGTCTCCATGGCCTATCTCTCTCGACTGGACGAATGTGTGTAAAGAGGTTCCACGTGCTTCAAGGTTGCACCGCTAAACACACGGAACCTGGGGATTAAGCACCGTGGGGCCACATTCCAAGCAACTGCGTGCTGGCTGATTGACCATTGGCTTTTTGTCAAGACTTGAAAGCTGTTGGGAGCAATGCGAAAAGGGAACCAACATGAATTCCACTGAGCCGCCTGGTTCGGCACATACTCATATTGCGCCAAGCCTAACGAAAGACAAGGAATACATCCCCAAGAAAGCTTCATGGAGCTCCGATTTTTTGGTGGACGGGTCGAAATGTTCATCTGTGACAAGAGCTCAATGGCCAACAAACATTCAGCTAGCACCCGTCGAGCCCTTATTCCTCAGCATCCTCCACTGCAAACGCAATGGGCCCCCCGAAAGGCCCAACCACCCAACAGTGTCGCACATAGCTCGACAACACCGCAGTCCAAGTACAGAGGCCTCAGCCTCAAAGTTGACAGTTGGCTGATCAATCTGTTGGAGAACCGGGCTCTGAAGCCAGGGCGTGAAACGCGAAAATGCAATGCTGCCTACCTTCCCCGACCTGCACGGCATGACTGCCTTGATTGTGACGAAACGTCCTGCCCTTCCCAAACCAGGCGCCATGTCATCTCGCCAACATTGCCTATACATATGGACAACGACGAGTACGTCAGGAGGGGACCCCTACCACGGCCCCCTTGAAAGCACCCAAAGGAAACCGACGAGTGGTCTAATTAGAACCGGGCACTAAGAACAAAACGCCAACAAAAAGCGGGCGAGGGGCATCAAAGACAAAGGCATGTCGTTCGTGATCAGCTGATGCATCTCGTCCATCTTGTATTGCTGAGTCATCAGGTCTCGCACGTTCTGCTCCAGCCAGAAGGATAGCCTCGGCACGAGGGCATTCCAAGCCGGCCCTATGCAGGCCAACCCTATTGAAGCTGACCCCGTTGCCAACCGCGGGTGCACATCTTCAGCGTTGCAGGCTGCAACTCCACGTAAGTTTTTAAGCTCACCGGTGGCAATGAATCCGAATCCCAGAACGTGATTGCACAATCCGGGTCAGCCCAGAAAATCAGGAAATAAGACAGAAAGGGCACTGAACGAAGGTGCTTGCCGGTGAGAAATTCGCATTCCGGCCCCCCCCCAGTTTCTAAACATGAGGTGGACTTGCTTCCCTTCATAGGGGCCCACTAAAAGAAAAGGAGTGAGGGCTCCAGTGAACCACTGGCATATGGTTCACCGAACTGGGGCCACGTAGAATGAACACCCGCCCGATTGTTCGGCCAGGCTACGCTTTGGTTCCTTCGGGCGCCAGGTTCGCGTGGATCGCAAACTCCTGAAGAGATATATATATATATATATTGTGCATTTAGATACATAGTGAAGAGATACCTCCTGAAGAGATATATTGTGCATTTAGATACCTACCAGATATCCACATAGATATTCAAATAGACAGAATTACATATAAATACACTGTATATGTACATCAATATCACTTGTTTTACGAGCTTTTTAAATCACCTGGGCGGTGCGATGCTCCAAATACATCTTTTGAGGGTGCCTGTCCTTGGCCAGCTTCAGCTTGTTCTTCAGGAACACGTTCACCTGCGCGCTTGCATCAAGCAGGTTGCAAGCGCTTGCTTGGTGCTTGGGCAGACCGTCGGGTCGGATGGGTTCCATCCTCGCAGCTAAATTGTGTTGCCGTGCTATGAGCCATGCCTCAAAGGAGCGCTCACATGAAAGTTCAAATGTGACAATTCCACAGCGACTCGACCCAGTCAAACTTGACCCTTCCACTTTCTGTGGTGTTGGTCAGGGCAGGCCTCACTCTCCAAACGGGACGTGAGGTCTGGGGTAAACAGTAATTCTAGAACCCCACCGTGGAACCTGCCGTGGTTGCCAAAATCAGCGTGCCAAAAGCGAATAGAACCAGCACGCACATCAGACCCGACAATTCCAAACCTAGTGAAAAAGATCTCCAAGTAAAAGACCTACATCATGGTGAGCTCGTTTTATCCCCAGGCAAGCTCGCCCCGAATAAGCAGATTTGATGTAAAACTCCAAACGACGGCTGCCACTCGAGCACCAGTCAACTCCCCGCCGTGTTGTCGCTGGTGACTTCGTTGATCACCTGGCGAGGGCGTCTTCTGCCAGTCGAACCGCTGGTGAAATGATGCGCAAAAATTACTGGAGACAAGCCCTTGCTAGCACCGCGGTCCATAGAATCTTTGTGAATCTACCTGGAGGGTAAGATGAGCTCAGGATGTGATGGCAGTCTATCTCAAGAGATTTTCGCTTGGCCAGTTAGTGGGCTCGTTATGGCCCCCGGGAAAGCTCCGGCTATGACGATTGGCAACCCTATTGCTGACGACACCACACCGTGCCCCTTTGACGGTACCAATCAACATGAACAGAACCAAAAGAAGGTAAACAAGAATCAAACCACCAAAAATGAAACCACCCACCAAGACCGGTGCAGAAAAAGGCCAACTTCCACTGGGGTCGCATTTTTTCCCGCCCGTTTTTGGCTGGCAGGCAGAGGCCCCCACCCCCCACCCCTTGCTGGGCCGCCGTGCCTGGCCGACGATCAAGGAGTGCACAATGGCGCCCACCATCATGGTGAGGGTCACGTACATAATCTCCCCCGTGGTGAAGGCCGAGATGTCGCCTGAAAGTTTGGGAACGTGGAAAAGCGAGGTCTAAATCCCACAACGAGCTTGCTTTAAAAATGACAAGTTGCCAGCTGCCTGAAGTTTACAGGGCAAAAGTAGGTGGCACCATGCCCGTGATGCCAGTAAAGATGGTGATAAGACCTAAATGCCAAACCGTGCCATCTACTGTCACCCAACTGACACAGTAAGTTGCTCCAAAGACTCGGTTGCCACAAGGGTAGAATGGCCCCGGGTCAAGGGAAACCACCGGAAACTCAACCGATGTCCAACCCTTTTTCATCATCTGCTAGATGGATATATGTGTCACCACCTGCAAAAAGAAACACCACAGGAAGGGAGGAAAAGAGGAAAAGAGGAAAGGAAGACTCCCCTGTAGGCAAATCTATGTGAACTTGTTGAGTTCAGGCCGGTCTTTGATATGCAAGCTCCACACTTGAATCGAAGCACCTCCCATCCGTCCTTCAAAACACTAGTTGAGCAAAGTATGGGTGTGTGACGCGTCAGAAAATGGAGCACACGTCAGGGATATGGCTTCCCTTTGAAGCAACCTGACAAGAGCACCTGCTTCAAACAACAAGCAACGCCCATATGGACTGCCGTTCCCATTCACCACCTTCACCTCCTGCCAAGTGGCCGAAGCCCACCGTGGTGAAAACCTGGCCGCTGGTTCAGGTGCAAATATCTCGCACGTGCAGGTTGTCCCGCAGAAGCATGAGGGTGGCTGGGGTCCCCTAAGACTTCTCTAGGGGGGTTCCCTCTGAAGGTGTCACTTCAATGGACCCAGGCACGGAGAGAATGCCGCAATCTTGCGCAAGGTGGTCGCCAACCACGGCGGGATATTCAACGCTGCCCTTGGGACCTGGGGTGCGACCCTGAGCGGCAGAACCAAGGGAGTCGCCGCAAGGTGTTCTTAGAAGAGGCGTTGCCTCTTAGAGGGTTCTTAGTGGCAAAACCCTTCTGCGAAGCCCTTGGAATGCTTCTGGGAAGGTTACAACAGCTTCCAAGAAGGGCCCAGTGCATTTGAGAGGGCTAGGCAGCATCTTCTGAGAGAACAGGCTGCCGCGAAGAGGACTTGCCTGGTTACAGCCCCTCAGAAAACCCCCCGCGGACTCCACCAGTGCGCTGACTCCATTGCCCAAGCCTGCACCCATGAGGGGGGTGAATCTCGCCCCCACACAGCAGGACAAATGCTCATTGAAACCGACAGTCCCAGAGAGACTTTCATGAGGTGGAAAGGTGTGACCGTGGCGCTCACCAACAAGTAAGAGAAAAACACAAGCAAGCAAGCAAGCAAGCAAGCAAGCAAGCAAGCAAGCAAGCAAGCAAGCAAGCAAGCAAGCAAACAAACACACAAGCAAACAAAACCACGAAAACAAACCAAACGAAATCAAATCAAATAATCAATCAGTCAATCAGCCAACCAGTCAACCAATCAATCAATCAATCAATCAATCAATCAACCAATCAATCAATCAGTCAATCAGTCAATCAGTCAATGAGAGTCAGTCAGCCAATCATTCAATCAGTCAACCAGTCAATCAGTCAATCAGTCAATCGGTCAATCAGTCAATGAATCAGGCAATCAGTCAATCAGTCAATCAGGCAATCAGTCAATCAGTCAATCAGTCAATCAGTCAATCAGTCAATCAGTCCATCAGTCGATCAGTCAATCAATCAGGCAACCAGTCAACCAGTCAATCAGTCAATCAGTCAATCAGTCAATGAGTCAGTCAGTCAATCATTCAATCAGTCAATCCGTCAATCAGTCAATCAGTCAATCAGTCAATCAGTCAATCAGTCAATCAGTCAATCAGTCAATCAGTCAATCAATCAATCAATCAATCAATAAATCAATCAAACAAATCAATCAATCAACCAACCAATCAATCAACCAACCAATCAATCAAATCAAATCAAATCAAATCCATCCATCCAATCAATCAAATAAATCAACCAAACAAGCAAGCAAGCAAGCAAACAAGCAAGCAAGCAAGCAGGCAGGCAAGCAAGCAAGCAAGCAAGCAAACACACAAGCAAACAAAACAACGAAAACAAACCAAACCAAATCAAATCAAATCATCAATCAGTCAATCAGCCAACCAGCCAAGCAGTCAACCAATCAATCAATCAATCAATCAGTCAATCAATCAATCAATCAGTCAATCAATCAATCAATCAATCAATCAATCAATCAATCAATCAATCAACCAATCAATCAATCAGTCAATCAGTCAATCAGTCAATGAGAGTCAGTCAGCCAATCATTCAATCAGTCAACCAGTCAATCAGTCAATCAGTCAATCAGTCAGTCAATCAGTCAATCAGTCAATCAGTCAATCAGTCAATCAATCAGTCAATCAGTCAATCAGGCAATCAGTCAATCAGTCAATCAGTCAATCAGTCAATCAGTCCATCAGTCCATCAGTCGATCAGTCAATCAATCAGGCAACCAGTCAACCAGTCAATCAGTCAATCAGTCAATCAGTCAATCAGTCAATGAGTCAGTCAGTCAATCATTCAATCAGTCAATCCGTCAATCAGTCAATCAGTCAATCAGTCAATCAGTCAATCAGTCAATCAGTCATTCAGTCAGTCAATCAGTCAATCAGTCAATCAGTCAATCAGTCAATCAGTCAATCAGTCAATCAGTCAATCAGTCAATAAATCAATCAATCAATCAATCAATCAATAAATCAATCAATCAATCAATCAATCAATCAATCAATCAATCAATCAATCAATCAATCAATCAATCAATCAACCAACCAATCAATCAACCAACCAACCCATCAATCAATCAATCAAATCAAATCAAATCCATCCATCCATCAATCAATCAAATAAATCAACCAAACAAGCAAGCAAGCAAGCAAACAAGCAAGCAAGCAAGCAGGCAGGCAAGCAAATCAAATCAAACCAAACAATAAATGTGCCCGCGCGGCCGCAAATATGAAGTACATGGCGTGCGCCCATTGGTCGAAGGGTGACAAATTGAGCAGCATCACCTGGCGCCAGTCACCACAAGGGGGGCTCTCAAAAATAGGGACCTCTAAAATGGCTTGTTTGCCGTTGGTTCAAATATCACTCTCATGGAGTCCGCCCTTTGTGGAGAATCCCTAGCATGAGCGACTGGTTAATATTCTGAGCTTTTGACATGTGCATTGGCAAACTGGACCCAAGGTGTTTCTGCTGGGCCGACGGCAGTTAGGCAAACGGCTGCAAGCGCCAAGGAGTCATGATGGGTTTGGAACCTGTTGCAAAAAGTTTGCTGCGTTGGATAATTTCTACGCACCAAACCAAAGGGGAAAAAGGGTGAAACAACTGAGGTTGCGCTCTCGCCCCTTCTTACTCCCAAATGCGCCCCAGGGGGCGAGAAGCGCCTGAATGAAATGATCTCCATGTTGATTGCCAGTGGGGTGTGCAAATGATGGGTATCACATTCGCTGAGCCAAACGCTCTCCAGTCATAAGGAGGGGCTCAGTGCAGATAAGAAGAGAATGCCAAAAAGGGTTGTCAAACCAATAAGCAACAAAGGGCTTCTGCCCAGGGTTTTCAGGAGCTTGCAGCAGTGAGGCACGCAAAGCGTCCGGTGCACATGGAACCAAGCAGAAGTACCGAGCACCTGGGCAAGCTCAAACAAAATCAGGGGTGTCCTTGCAGCCTATGCTGAGCCGAACAGCAACCACTTGCGTAGGTTCCTTTGGGTTCTGAAAACCCCTGGGTATGCGATGGCCAGGCCCTTCACTGTTGTTCTACATCTATCTACATCACCACATCCCTCAGAGGATGCCTCCAATAACTACGGCAAACCTCAGGCGGCAACCAGAATACGGCCGAGAGTAAAGAAGACATCAGCCAGCCAATCAGCTCCTCTGGAAATAACATGTCCAATCTTTGGACCTTCCAAAGTGTTCTTCCCAGGGTTCCACAAATAACAAGTTTGTATTTTTCCGGAGGTAAGATAAACCAGGTGCGTGGTGCGTGCTCATTTCCCAGTCCTCATTCACGCCGACCAGGCGTCGAGCCAGCCAGGTCTCGTGGGGATCTTCATGCATTGCCGCGCAGAGGTACCAGCCGCAAGCCTCGGATAGGGAGAAGCCTAGGACTCCCCCTCCCTGACCCCCGGCCCGCTAGGATTGGTTCTGAGAACCGGGGCAGGCCATGGCATGGGCACGAGCTCCATGCATTTGGAAAGGGTGCCTGGAGCGCACAAACCGACTCCGTTCCCGAAAGCGTCAAACAGGTTGCAGGCCTTCGGAAGCTAAGTTGGCACAGCGCCTTTCCCAAGGTCAAGGTCCAAAAAATGAGCCGAGAGCGGGTGACCACACCATACCCCGAAGACTATGGCTACTTTCTCCGGGTATGCCTCTCTCCGGAGCTTGGATTTCCAGCTTCCAGACAGCAGACCGCTACTTCCTTCTGCTTGCGGCCGGGGCACCATGATATGCACGGCCCAAACGAGGCCAAAGAGGGTGTTGAGCACGGCTACGACCTCAAGCGCAGGCCCCTTCTGCACAAAAATATTCTGCGCAAAACTGGGGCGACTGGATAGGAAGCTGCGGTGCCTCCTCAAGTTGGGGTAGGTGAGGCGATCCTTGACGAAGCCCGACCCAAGGGTCATACAGGTCATATTGGGGCTTGGAAAGGCAAACAAAAAATAGAGAAAGGAGGTCCGTGGAGGGAAAATGACCTCCATGTCAACAATCCAATGTGACTTTGTGATTTAATTTTGTGTTTTTGCTTGGAAAAAGCAAATCCTACATTAACTCCTCATGCCGCGAGGCCCAAGACAAGTCGCAGCTTTCACTAGTTTCGTGGCTGCCCGAGTTGCTCCCTTTTGGGGTTCTCTCTCTCTCTCTCTCTCTCACTCACTCACTCTCAGGACCTTGTATCTCTGAATGTAGGTGTCCAGGTTCATTCGCTCCGTCAGCTGGGTAATCTTCCTGAATGCGGAGCCCGCTCGGGCGAGCAGCAGCTGCTGCGCGCGGCCAACAAGCAAACTCCAACTACTGCACAAGTGCCGCGCGGGCAGTGCTCAAAGACAAAAAGACGCTTCAGGCATACACATACATACATACATACATACATACATACATACATACATACATACATACATTACATTACATTACATTACATTACATTACATTACATTACATACATTACATACATTACATTACATTACATTACATTACATTACATTACATTACATTACATTACATTACATTACATTACATTACATTACATTACATTACATTACATTATTACATTACATTACATTACATTACATTACATTACATTACATTACATTACATTACATTACATACATACATACATACATACATACATACATACATACATACATACATACATTACATACATACATACATACATACATACATACATACATACATACATACATACATACATACATACATACATACATACATACATACATACATACATACATACATACATACATACATACATACATACATACATACATACATTACATACATACATACATACATACATACATACATACATACATACATACATACATACATACATACATTACATACACATACATACATACATACATACATACATACATACATACATACATACATACATACATACATACATACATACATACATACATACATACATACATACATTACATCATACATACATACATACATACATACATACATACATACATACATACATACATACATACATACATACATACATACATTACATACATACATACATACATACATACATACATAACATTACATTATACATACATACATACATACATACATACATACATACATACATACATACATACATACATACATACATACATACATACATACATACATACATTACATACATACATACATACATACATACATACATACATACATACATACATACATACATACATACATACATACATTACATACATACATACATACATACATACATACATACATACATACATACATACATACATACATTACATACATACATACATACATACATACATACATACATACATACATACATACATACATTACATACATACCATAACATACATACTATACATACATACATATATAGATACATACATTACATACATACATACATACATACATACATACATACATACATACATACATACATACATACATACATACATACATACATACATACATACATACATACATACATACATACATACATACATACATACATACATACATACATACATACATACATACATACATACATACATACATACATACATACATACATTACATACATTAATACATACATACATACATACATACATACATACATACATACATACATACATACATACATACATACATACATACATACATTACATACATACATACATACATACATACATACATACATACATACATACATACATACATACATACATACATACATACATACATACATACATACATACATACATACATACATACATACATACATACATTACATACATTACATACATTACTTACATACATACATACATACATACATACATACATACATACATACATACATACATACATACATACATACATACATACATACATACATACATACATACATACATACATTACTTACATACATACATACATACATACATACATACATACATGCATTACATACATACATACATACATACATACATACATACATACATACATATACATACAATTACATACATACATACATACATACATACATACATACATACATACATACATACATTACATACATACATACATACATACATACATACATACATACATACATACATACATACATACATACATACATACATTACATACATACATACATACATACATACATACATACATACATACATACATTATACATACATACATACATACATACATACATACATACATACATACATACATACATACATACATACATACATACATACATACATACATACATAATACATTACATACATACATACATACATACATACATATATATTAAATGTGTATACATCTAATGAAATATATAACTAGCTGGTTATTCATTCACTCATTCATTCATTCATTCATTCATTAATTCATTCATTCATTCATTCAGTCATTCATTCATTCATTTATTCATTCATTAATTCATTCATTCATTTCGTTAATTAGTTCATTCATTCATTCATTCATTCATTCATTCATTCATGCATTCATTCCTTCCTTCCTTCCTTCCTTCCTTCCTTCATCCATTCATTCATTCATTCATTCACTTCCTTCCTTCCTTCCTTCCTTCCTTCCTTCATTCATTCATTCATCCATTCATTCCATTGCAACACCACAACTCTTCAAAACTCACTCACTCACTCTCACTCACTCACTCTCACTCACTCACTCACTCACTCACTCACTCACTCACTCACTCACTCACTCTTCACACTCAAAATCCTTTCATTTCTCACTCTCACTCTCACTCTCACTCTCACTCTCACTCTCACTCTCACTCTCACTCTCACTCTCACTCTCACTCTCACTCTCATGCTCACTTTCTCACTCTCACTCTCACTCTCACTCTCACTCTCACTCTCACTCTCACTCTCACTCAACCACTCTCACTCTCACTCTCACTCTCACTCTCACTCTCACTCTCACTCTCACTCACTCACACTCACTCACTCACTCACTCACTCACTCACTCACTCACTCACTCACTCACTCACTCACTCACTCACTCACTCACTCACTCACTCACTCACTCACTCACTCACTCACTCACTCACTCACTCACTCACTCACTCACTCACTCACTCACTCACTCACTCACTCACTCACTCACTCACTCACTCACTCACTCACTCACTCACTCACTCACTCACTCACTCACTCACTCACTCACTCACTCACTCACTCACTCACTCACTCACTCACTCACTCACTCTCACTCACTCACTCACTCACTCACTCACTCACTCACTCACTCACTCACTCACTCACTCACTCACTCACTCACTCACTCACTCACTCACTCACTCATGTCATTCATGTCATTCAGTTCATGTCATTCATGTCATTCAGTTCATGTCATTCATGCATTTTACAAATTTTATCATGCTGTTTGTGTATTGACTTATGTGCTATGTATTCACATATTTATGTATCCATTGATGTATTCCTTTTCTTGTTCATTGATATACACATTCAACTTTACATACATACGCATTTGCACATGTATACATATATATATACATGGATTGTCATTGATATGTTCATCTATGTATGTAGAACCGCAAACAGACATCGAACATTGCAAACGTGAAGCCCTTGCCCGTGCCCACTGACAGAAGGGACATTGGCCTGAACAAGGGAAGGACAAGGTATATGAAGTGCCCGTTCCGTTTGCAAAATGTCTGGAAACTCAGCAAGGGTGTTTTTGAATCGATGGGCAGGGTCAATCGAAACCCTTGACCGCTCTGTTTAAACCTGACTACAGCCAGGTGTCACCAGCCGCAGCATTCGGACGATCTTGGTCATGCGCTGCATACGAAGCAGCCTGGCAGCAAACCGCCATGCTCTCGCCATGCTGTCGCCATATCCCGCCATGTCGCGGCCTCTCCCTCCCACCGTGCTGCCTTCAAGCGATCCGCAGCTGCTGGTTCACGCAGAAAAAATGGGACGACAAGCTCGTCTTGGTGCTCCACGTGCAAAACCCAATTTTGGCATCGTGGTCTTGCCCAGGCCTGGCCCCTCCTGCTTGGGTTTGGATTTTGGAGCTGGCTCCCATTCCCCCGCACAAATCCCCCTTAAATGAAGAAAGATGGGGCCTCTCCGAAATTCCATTTGCCTTGTCTCCACCCAAGCACGGAACTTGGAACTAGAAAGGGAATTCCAGGGGTCACCCCCGTCACCTCGCTCTCGTCAGCCTTCCCGGCGCCTCACGGACCTGTTGCCAGCCGCTTTGTCCACGGCGTCATCGCCGAAGATGAGCCCATACGCCGCTTCGGCCGCCTCAGGCCGCAAGCCCAAGCCAAGATGCCGAACCCACATGGCACTCAGGCAAGCTGTATGCACATGAGCCCGTACCTTATCACAGTGTACACTGCTATACTTAAACAGATGTCAATGTATATACATAGGTACATGTATACATATGTGTATATACAAGGGCGCATCACCGAGAATGAGTCTGCCCTTGATCTGGTGGATCCTGTCTCATGCAAACAGGTTTGCCACAAGTTGCCACTGCGGCGTTTATTATCTGGCTTCGTCGGAATGGATGGGATCTTTAGTTCCATTCCGTGGTCCGTAATCCGTAGTTCTACATCACTACAACAAGGGATGCCAGCTGACAAAAGGGCTGAAGGCTTGCTTTGGTCAATCCAGTTAATGCATGCGGCTCGTAATGTGACAGTACGCTGCGGCTTTCAAAAACCCAGCTGGCCGTGGAAGACTTTGCAAACTGGGCTGAAACTCTGAAGAGCCTCCCATTCGGCTCACAATGAGAACCGTCATTCCTCCGGCCACCTGCTTCTCTTTTCAGGCACCGGCGGGAGAACCCCACAGCAAACTTCCTCAACGCCCACATTGTCATATTGCAACTCCTGGTGACAAGCAAGTCAGGCAGCACCTGCCCTGCACACTTCTTAGATTGCCCACTTCTTCCAATCGACTCAAGGCTAAGAACAACTAGGCTCCAGTGCGCCCTGCACCGCTGCTCGCAGGTTGGCGGGAAGCCCGTTCTTTGTTGTTACATCCCCACCCTCACTTGCCAAGATCAGGAACATTGGGACAAAAAAAGGAACATGCCTAACATCAAACTATTTTGGAGAAGGAACCATCAATCAGGGGAGCATGTCATGCACATCCCGCCAGAGCCGGCAAGGCATATGGAGCAAACTGCTCCAAATTCCCTTGCTGGGTGCCAGGCCGACTCCGGAACACAGGAGATCCTCAGCCGGCCAACCCCATCGACCCCTTCGGCCCCGAAAGTTGACGTGGCTCTGAACCACTAAGTTTTCCAGAGTTCCGCCCTTGTCTGAACCATCGGCGAAGATAGCTGATTGCTCGGTGCCAAAGGGGAGCAAACCGGCTCGGGCCCCATGAGGAAGGATTCGTTTCAGGGCCTTCCGTGCCTCGGCTGCTGGAAGAGTGCAAATGTCTATTTGGTTGGATCTTTAGCCTTTTTTGGCGCAACCCCAGGATACACCAAATGCACGCTTGTTCATGATGTCGCTTGTATCTTGCTTAGTCAACCTGAAAATGGAAGATCATATCGCCGGAGACCCCAGCTTCAACAAACCATACCTGGCTGCCGACCAGCCAACAAGCAAGTTGAGCCCTTTTGAGCGTGGAACCCATAGATGTCCAACAGGCAGCCGAATGCACAAGTTCTAGCCGTAGCTGGTGACAGAACTGAGTCAACCACGCCCTCAAAAGAGAAAAACTCCTGCACAAGGGTGCTTCTGGAACGCTGTCTCTCTCTCCCTCTCAGTTTCTTTCTCTTTCTCTCTCTCCCTCTCTGTTTCTCTCTTGTTCTCTCTAGTTCTGGAACCCTTGTTGAAACCATTTGTTTGACCTCCAAGGCCGCAACTTTGCCAGGATATGCCAGAATGATCCCAAGGCCTTCAAAAATCAGCAGAAAATGGGGGGGGGGGGGTTTGGTCAACAGCATTAGCATGACCTAGTTCGCGGACCCTTTGCTGCACCAATGTATCCTGTTACTTGCCCCTGTTGAAACCGCCGAACGAGGGTGCCAGCCAAGAAGAAAGGACAACGCTAAACGCCTGGGAGCCATTGAAAAGCCGACACCTTTTGGCAGGCGCGCAAGCCAGCATATCTTGAAACAGAAGTTAGTTGTTCAAATCATGTCACAAAACAAACTGCCCCTCTTGCGGATGGCTCTTGCCAGGTTGCCTTGTGGTAAACCCCGAAAGCCCAAGATGTGGTCAACAAATCAAGTGGGCCAAAATGCGGCCTTCCCGGCGTAGTAAGATATGCACGGCCAAGGGGCGCATTCACCCAAAACCATCCGCAGAGGTATCTCACAGCGATCTTGCTGGGTGAGGCAACCTGGCCGGCCACTCAGAGGAGAAGGGGAGGCGCCACGCAGCGGCGTGAGACATATTATGTTGCCCCGAGGTGCGCAAGCCAAAGGAACCGGGTGGGCACCGTCGTGGTTCTTGTGCGTTTCGTTTTGGCTGACGCTTGCCTGCAAGCCAGAGACCACCCCCGGGCTCAGGCACGCGCGCAAGATCCACAGCATTGCCACCCCAGGGCCCACAACTGACAGCACGGCTGCCGAAACAAAGCGCAACACACTCAAACGAAGCAATCCACCCGTTTGTAGGCCGTTGGGGCAGCAGGCATGGAGATCATTGCCTATAGGGCTATCACGGCGTGTCTTTCTCAGGGGGTACCATTGCTGGGCTGGTTTAAGATTCAGCGAAGCCAAAAGGAAAACCACGATTTTGTAGGTCCCCCCAATGACTTTGACACATAAATGCCCATCACTATTCCTACCGGAGGCAGCCAGATTGCTGTCCATTGAACGACGAACGCAAGAAATACCCACCAAGTTTCCGGTCACAGGGCCAACGAGCATACATGTGCGTGTGTTCTTTGATTCGGGGCAACGACTGTATGACATGCTGGAAACATGTGCGATGTTGTTGCACATCGCCCTGGAGCAACAAAAGGCATTCCACATTCCGAGGGTCTCTTCCACCAAGAAAAACAACGCTGCGCCTGACGACTCCTTGGCGAAAGCACATGGCTGGCGCTGGATTTTCCCTCGGAGGTCCAAAAACGAAAAGCAAAACGAGGGACTCTTGGACAACGCTCCGGAAATCCATTTCGGCAACAAGCGGTTGGATGTCGGCAACAGGGTTCCTTGTATGCACATTCAATCAGCACCACAGGACATAAAAACAAGTTCCCCCAGCATGTTTTGATTGAACTGCCACAAAGACTTGGTTGACGTTGAAAGGGGAGCAACAATTTAAATTTCAGCAGTTCAGTGGGGATTTCCCACCAAACCACAATAGGCAAAAATGTAAAATGTTTCCCAACAACAACCATGAAGAGGAGCTGTCGCTCGGACACAAGCAAGCAAGCAAGCAAGCAAGCAAGCAAGCAAGCAAGCAAGCAAGCAAGCAAGCAAGCAAGCAAGCAAGCAAGCAAGCAAGCAAGCCACCAAGCAACCAAGCAACCAAGCAACCAAGCAACCAAGCAACCAAGCAACCAACCAGCCGGCATGCCAGCCTGCCCGCCCGTCCGCCCGCCCCGCAAAAACTCGGAACCCACCTCGGCGCCCTTCCTCAGATGCCGAAACAGAGTTGCTTCAAGGCGAGTTGAAGCGGAGCCCACCGCGTTCTATGCGCTCTATGAAGAACAGTGCTTCCATACCAGCCAGCGGCGCCAAGATCAAGAAATCCACCTGCCAAGTACCTCCCTCAAAGCATTGACCCCAACAACAAACTTAAAACAAACAAACAAACAAACAAACAAACAAACAAACAAACAAACAAACAACAAAGAGGCCAAACACGATGACGCCTCTGTGGTGTACAAGCACCTGAGAGTGAAACTGCCTGCAATCCAAACAACATAAAAAGGCCCGCGTTGGATCAGACAGGGGCGCCCGGTGGGCGGCGGCATTCAAGCCAGGTGGCTCATTGGTGTAGGTGAAGAAGAACTGAATCAGCAGATCCGCCCAAAACATGATGTCCACCATGGTATCGAGGTAGTTCCAGAAGGCAGAAGTCATCTGCAAGCTGGCATTCTTCATGGGACAATCACTTGCAAGATCAAAGGAATCTCACTTTTGCCAGCCATGCAAGCCCACTATATGAATATGGTGTTTTCAACGTCCCTGGGACAAAACACAACATGTGTTGGACAGCCAGTGGTCGCCCAAGAGATAGGAAACAAGCCAGGATGCCTGAAGCGCTACAAATCACCCGCAAGCTTCTGCCAAAGTTGCTCGTAACCTGGGGGGCATGCGGGAACGAAAAGCTAAGCCATGCTGCATCGTTGTCCGTCTCTGTGATGAGTTTTAGTGATTCGCCCCATTAAACTTTGATCTACTTGATCACTGTGCCTCGCTTATTTCAGATTGTTGCAACCTAAAACCTGGCATTGTTTCACCACTATGAGCCGAGCCCAGAGTGGCCCGGGCGCTCTTACTAGCCTCTCTCCCAGTGCGCGCCTCAACCTCCCCAGCAACATTCAAGCGGAAGAAGGTGAGGCGGTAAATGAAAATGGTCCCGGTGTAGAACAGCAGCAGGACAACCTATCGACGTCGAAGCAAAAACGTGAGAAAACGTCGCATGTTCGGCTAAGGGCCTGGCAATTCAAAGGGGTTGGAATGGCGAGTTGGCACAAACTCGGCACCAGCAGCAACACCAGAACGACAACTACGACAACAACGATGGCATCAACGACAACCGTAACCAGCAGCAGCTTTAGCACCAGCACCAGCACCAGCACCGCTGCCATCACCACTATTAACAATGTATTAACAACAAGAAAAAGGAGGAGGAGGAGGAGGAGGAGGAGGAGGAGGAAAAGCTGAACCACAAGCCCGGGTTTTCTTACTTTCTTACCATCTGGACATTCATCCAACGCCTTTTGGAAGAAGGACATCGAGAAGCATGATGCATCCAGCTGTGTGCCAAGACTGCTTTGGCAGACATAGGATTCCTTCCGCAATTTTTGTTGACCAGTCACTCTCTCTCTCTCTCTCTCTCCCTCCAGTGCCCCAAATTGGGAGCACTCTTGGCCCAGGACACTCTGACAAAGCCGGCGCTAACTCAAGCCATCCACTTCTGGGAAAATGCGCTTTGACGCACGGCGCAGCACTCAGACATTTCCAATGCCAAAATGCAACAGCTGTAGGAGTCACGCAACGGAGACCCCTGGCACCACTGTGCCAAACAACTATCCAACTTCCTTGCGCCACCCGTGTCAGGTTTGCACTTTCAGCCACCAGCCCTCGGGCACTGGAATCCAAACTGAACAGGGCACCTTGCAAAGCTGCAACCCTTGGAGTTGTTCCAAGAATTTCCTAGATGTTCCAAGCTCTTGGTCGTCTTACAGCGCATGCTTGCCAAGATGCAAGCAGAGTCCAAAGACGCCGGAAGGAATTGTCCTGAGAGCGAGCCGAATGACACGTGATCTCCAGCTGGACCTAACTCCAGTAAAATGCTGGTTAAGCGCTCATTGACTCTAAGGTTTCTAAACGCCTGGCACAAACGAACAAGGAAGTGGCCATACCTAATCGTGCAAAGCGAGTGATCCAAGAATCCAAGTACTACACGTCTGAACAACCGGGCAATTCAACAAAAACACCTTCAAGTCCTCACCCCCCCCCCCCCCTCGGCTTCACTCATGAGTTTTCGCGATGGAGCCGAAGCAGCACAAGTAGTCGGAAACCAAAGGGGACACGGCCATGTTTGGCAGCAGGTAACTGGGCAGAATGCGAAAGGCCAGCCCCTCAAAGCGCACAATGCGGCAGTGGGAAGGCATCATGCACATCCGCTTCCCTCATAGATGTGCCATGGTTGAGATCCTGATGGGTGATAGGTCATGGTGTGTTTTCCAAGGGCACAGTCTGTAGTTTTTGCCCCATGCGATACAAAGAACCTGGCTTCCTGGGACTTGACCATTTGGAGCAGCACGTCTCCATAGGACGCAACCAAAGGCCATCACTTCAGCCTCGTGTGAGGCACACAAGTGCGGGCAAGGCGCGGGATACATGATCAAGCCGCCCAATCCACAACCAGCGGGTTCTATTACTTCCTCCGAATCGTCTTCAAAGTAGGTGTCTTCTGAATAGAACTCCTGGCGCTGGCGAACGCATGGAAAAAAACCTGCGCGCGAGGCAGGAAGGAGAGTTCCTCTTACCCACATTTGCAGCTGAGCTACACATCTGGGTTTGGGATGAATTGTGCGGCCCAGCAAAGCCTTTCAGCCTCTCAAGCCAAATGTTCTGCCACACTGGGCTGCCAGCACCGGCATCACGGCTTGCCGTGGAGAGGCAACTTGTCGGACAAAAGAGGACCACGCTGCTTGCCGTTGTCAATGTGAAGCAAGACATGTCCAACACAGGTCGCAAACATATGAGCCGCGGTCAACTTTTCTGCTTTCACCCAGAGGACATGGGGAAAGTAGGTTTTGTTTACTGGTGTTGCTTAGTGAGTATCCCCCATGTTTCTCCCAAGTGTACAACAGACAAATCGAGATGCTCACCGAACCTCAGCGACTTAGGACTACCACAGCCCCGTCACAAGATGTATTCAACCTAGGCACCGAGAGAACTATATACATATGCATAGGTATACATCTCTCCAACATTTACACATACATAAATACATGATGAGTATGTGATTAATTATGTACGTGTGCATGTGTTGATTTATATATGCACTCTTTGTAGCTGTTCCTCTGTCTGAAAATTAACGGAGTGGTCCCCCTTTCTGCCTACAGGCTGCAGCATATGCTGCGAGTGCTCCTTCCAATGCGTATTACGATGCTCTTTGCACCCCTTCTCTTTGCGGCCAACTTTGCGAAAACACAACAAGCATGGGTGTCCCAAGTAAATGCATAGTTGACCAAACCTCAGATGAATTTGTCTTGTTTAAGCAGTACTGGCCCGGACTGGATCACGCAGGCCAACTGTACAACATCCTCCAGGCCTTGTTGCAGGAAGACTAGGTTGCAAGTGCCCATGGCCTCACCTCTCTCCACCCTGGTCGGGTTGAGAAGAGACCACCCCCTTCCCTCAGCTCTCCCATCGGCTTCCGGCTTCTCCGTCCTTGCTACCGGCCATGGACCGGCCCTTCATGGCCATCATCACGTCCTCCACCCCGGCGCGATCGTCTTGCCGGCTCTTGGCCCGGTCCTCAGCGCTGACTTGCGCGAGGTCCACAGTTTTCGGTAGCTGTGGGGGGGGGGGTGACGCGCTTCGCAAGCGAGTGATGCAGAGGCTTCCAGAACGAGCATGTTGCATCTGAAGTCCTCGACTTGTGCTGGAGGTCCCTATGTTCTTCAAACAAGTGAACACATAGATGAAGAAAAGCTTTCGGCTAAGTGTCAGCTGCTCAAACCTGTTTTTTCTCTCAAAACCTACCTGCAAGAACAGATGTGCCAAGCCTGACTAGCACAAGGGACCTCGTCAGGGCCCGAAACCGCAGGTTCAAGCCGCAAAGGTCCCATCTTGGGGTTGGTTTCTCCAAGCACTAGATACCTTGATTAAACTGCTCTTGCTTAAACATCCTCATCTAAAATATAGGTGTCCTTTGAACGGAGACATGGCCTCCTGCCTAAAACCGGCTACAGTTTGGTGCTCAGCAGGCTCTCCAGCCACTGAGTTTGGAGTGGAACGGAGCCCTGAGCACCATCCCATCCATCACCTCGGGCCCTTGACGTCAGGTAGTTAGGTGGTCATCATCTTTCGGCTTGGGCAGGAGTCGGGTGATTTCTGAAGCTGAGCTGGAGATCACGTTCTTCCCCCCCCCCCCCACCCGAAAACTCACACGCCGAGGCTCCATGATGGTCCGTGTTGGGCCCAAGGTCTTGGTCGGGCCCACCACGGTCCTGGTACGGTCCATTAGAGTTCTGGTGCGCTCCATGACAACCATGGCGGCACATGGATGCCCCCCACGCCCGGAAAGTCACTGCCGCGCCGCGCCGAAGCGGACCAGTCCGAGGGTGTGGCTTCAGGTTGAGTTTGGAGTCTGGCGACTGGTGACGACGTCTTCCCGATTTATCATGCTGAAGGCTCCAAGGGGTTGTCTGTTGGTTCTGTCCGCAAATCCACAGAGCCCTTAACGGAGCTGCAGTGCGGCACAAAGCTGAGCGGATCTGGAAGCCACCAGCCCCTGCTTTGGAAGGAAACCAGGGCCTCAACGCCTCTGATCAGCAGTTTTTTGTTGAGGCGCTGTGAAAATTCTTGAGCAAACCCAGTTTGGTTTGTCAGGCTGAGAATGTTACCATTTCCCAGGCGTGGTCTCAGCTCAACTGCTGATGCCAACCTGCCTGTCCGGACGCGGAATGCGTGTGAAAGAAACTGCTGGCGTGCTCCCCATGGAAGAGCTGGGCGTATGTTGCAAGCAGCTGTCAACCATGCGAATCTCAGTTTGCAGCCCTCCCAGCACTCTTCCAAACCGTGGGGTTGCAGGTGAAAGACAGAAATGTGTTGCTTTCTACCTGAGCGAGAGCAAAATTCAATTCAACCTCCAACCTTCTACCCATTTGGTGTACTTGCATAATTGCCCACATACCTTGAGAGCACTTACAGCGAGGCGTACCTCTTCAGGTGAAAAGCGCTTTTCAAGAGGCAAACTACATGGGCGTGGCAATCTGCCCTTTCTCCGGTACCAAAGTGGTTGATTCCCGTCTTCATGACTACTTTAACACTTTGACAAGGGTCCTCCTGGCCGCTCGCAGGTGGCAACCCCAAATCCATGATTTTCCCTTCAACCGTCTGAGTCTCATCAACCACTCAACTTCTCCCATGGACGATGCATTCTTGAACTTCCAGTAACCTTGGCTACTTGGATGTGCAGGCCTGTTTCTGTCAGCTGCCAACCTGCCCCTCCTGGGAGGCTCGCCCAAGCCTCCACCCCTCCCTCCCTGATCAAAAACAAATGCGCAAGCGCTTTCCTCTGATCCACGAGAGAACGAAAGAATCAACAGGGCCACAGCTGGTGCTGTCTTGCGCCCTCGGAGGCAAAGCAGGCAGTTTCCAAGGTGTGAAGACGAAGACTCGTAAACTACGACACGCATGGCCGGTCAGAAAAGCCAATGGCCGGTCAAGAGGGACTCCAGGAAGAGGCACTCCAGGTTTCTTCAACCTACATGTTTGTGCCAATACTGTTGTTTGCGGCAGGACCACAAGACCCTTACTTCTTGCACCCCCCGGTCAGCATAGCCTTTGCCATAACATCACCAAGTTATTTTGCTCGTCTTGTCCCAGACCTCGCTGCTAAACCTGAGTTCCAGATCCAGACCGAAGCACGCTGAGGGGTCCTTCAAGGAAAAGCCAGCCGTCAATCGGCTGCCGCATAGAGATAGTGTTTTAATGTTTGTTCAGACAGGCCTCCATGACGGTACTCATTCAAAAGGCGGCCTTGACATGAACTCCGCTCCTACTTTGAACTCAATGGTGCAAAAAGTCACGTGAGGGTGGACATTCCTTTGGCACCCGAGTGCCTTGGCAATCAGCCTGACTCAGCCCCCGATCTCGCCCTGTCTCGTGCTGGCACGCGGGCTGGGGCGGGAGCGCAGGCTGCCCGTTCTCAGGGGACCAACCCTTCGCCGATTCACCAGTCATGTTGGGTTGGTTGGGTTTAGAGTTGAAGTGCGCCGCTGCTCGCATGCCATAGTTTAGGCTAGATCTCGACAAAGCTGCCGTCTTCCATTGTTTCAGTGGCGCGGCAAGGGCCGCAGGTCGCGGGGCCTGAAAACCTCATCCCAGAAATTGCGGAAAAAGCGGAAAGGTTCCTCTACCGAAAGTTGACTTGGGAGTTCGAAAGGGATTGCCCCAATGCAATCCGGAGTGCCTTGCTTGAGCGGCATCTATCTGTTTGAACAATCATGAGACTCTTACTCCGGCCTGACTGTGGCTCAATTTCAAGTGCCGCCCACCGGCAGCTTGCGCTCGACACCCTCCCCAGCTCAAGTTTGCGCCCGTAGCTGACGACCTACCGAAACATTGTGGCTGTGCACTGCCTGACCACTTCTGATCTTTGATCAGGTGATCGGCATAACCTCAGCCGCCAATGGAGCATGAGCCAAGGCAATGATGCAGCAAGTTTTGTTGGGTAGAGATTTCACATCAAGGCGAGTCCCCCCAAATCCCCCCAAGAGGGCGGGATGTTCATGCCAGCTTCCACGTGGCCCAGGAAGAAAGCAGCACCGTTGGAACGCGTTCGGTTGGCACTCCTTGTGCTCCCCAGCGCTCTGCTCAAACCATGGCAGCTGAGGCCTAGCTAGATTTCAAGGCAGTGAGACATCGAATTTCTGGCCCGAAACGAGCACTGTGCAGCCAGCGGAACCGCTAAAGACCCCCTCGGACCCTTAGTACGTGACAAGTGTTCAACTCCAAGCAAAAATGCACTACTCCTTGCAGCTAATGGTGACATCTTTGGTAGAGTTGGCCCGTCGCTAAACTCGGAGCCTTCAGGGGTCCAACTGATGTCACGCTTCCTTGCACAGACTGAGGATGCCTTGCGCAAAATAGCTTTTCGCCAGCCAATGGAAAAGAATGGGACGCGAGGGGGAGGCTTCCGCAATGGGTAAGTTCGCCCGGCTGGCGTCAAGCGAGCTTCGCGTCAGGCGAGAGCCTGATGGCCACAGGGCCGAGTATCTGCCGATGAAGCGACTTCCGTTCACAGGATCCTGGCACGGCCGACGTGCCAAGGGTCAATGCGTGTCAGCTACGCCGCACATGCATGTCCGACAAGCATGTATGGATACCCCCCCTTCCCCCCGCTTCCAAACTTGAATGCTTGCATTCAAACAACCATATTGTAATTATCAACCATGTTGTAGAGCTGCATCTTGTATGTCAATAACTGCATAGCGACTAGCACTAGTTTGCATTCTCTTTTGGGAGATGCACGCAGCACAATCCCAGGAGCCATGAATGGTCTGAGTGGCTGCGGAAACCATGAGTATTTTCCTACCTTAGAGCGGAGAACGTCTGCAAGTTGAACACCCAAGAGGAGGAACCCCCCCCCCCCCACCCCCATCTAAGCTGGCCTTGCGCCGCAATCACAGCATGCGCATCAGGGGGGCGCTGCCGGTGCCTGCGTCCACTCGACATGGGGATTTCCCTGTAAAGTGAGTCGCTGGGGGCCAACCACCTTGGACCCAAGGAGCCCCTCCATACATGATTCTCCTTGCCTGATCCAGGTCGAGGTTGGCTTTGTCTTTGATTAAGGCGTAGGTGACTTTCCCCCTTCATATCCTTCAGTCAGCTTGTTTTGAATTCCGCCAAGTGTTAAAGAAGGTGAGCATGTTTGTCACCATCGTCTCAAACTACTTGAAGCAGCCTTTCAAGATACTGAAGCGAAGGGGCATGAAGTGGACCCAGAGGGCAGGAATCAAGACCTAGAAGTACCTGGTATCGTTTCCTGCCGGTGAGCAAAGGATGTCGCCGCATTTCTCGGTGAACTGGAGCGTTGGGGGTGATGACACGTATGCATCGGCCAACTGCGATCACTACCGCGTCCGGGAGGGCATCACAACATCTTGGTCAAAACCAATCGGGTGCCGCAAGTGGTCACCACGACGATGTTCGAGCCAACCCCCCTTGAGTCTTCAAAGGTGTAGGCTTCAGCGTAAATCACCTTCGCACCCTCAAGGCCCACCAGCCCACGTCGTGTGCGTCTTCAGGGCCCCTTCCTTATCACAGCCCCCAGGACTCGACCGGACGACGTGGACGACCGGCAAGGCCTTTGCAGACTGCGTCGGGGCCGCCGTTGGCATGGACGCCCGTGTAGAGGCTGATGTCCTTTGCGAGCCCAGGCCAAGATTCGGACCAGAAAAAAAAATGCGCGCCCTTGCGCTGGCAACACCTGCCCCCCAAAATGGGAGCCCCCCTCCAGAAAGGAGAGGAGCTTCAGCGAGGAGCAAAGATACGTCGGCCATGCCATCTTCGGTGATCCACCTTTACACAAAGCTCCCCGTTGAAGAGGGGAAATGCATGCCTTGGGGACAAGAAGAACACAACTTGCATTTCACACTGTACTGTTGACATAGGCTTGGGCGTAATTGCAGCATTGGCTACCTCCTGCAACCCCAAGCAACTGAGACGCGATCCCACCTAGGAGGCTGCCATAACGGCAGGAACTAACGAATAGCTGCCTTCACCGACAACGTTCTTTGCCCACTACTTAACGAGTGCACCCGTCACAAGCCCAGTGATCCTGGCAGAAAAAGGGCTCGGCTTGGGGCAGGTTCCAGGATGGGATACTTGTGTTTTTCGGGCAGACCGTGTTATCAGAGAAAAAAGGTGCCTGTGGCCTGTGCGGTGGATCACTTTGAGTAAGGCCCAGAGGCGGCAATTTGGCTTTGCGACTCTTGGCCAAAGGGAGATGGCACCGAACCGGTTTGCGCACTGGTGCCGAGCGGCGTCATGGAAGCGTACCGCCTCTGTCCGAGTGCCCGAGAGCTGGGGACCGGCAAACTGCCTGGCAGCCGTGGATGGTGAGCTGTTTCTTGCCACTCGGAAGTTCAGGCCACTCGAGCGGTTTATGGGTTGCACATCCAATTGGGTCCGGGCGGGTCAGAGGTCTGACAGGCCCAAATACCTGACTGTCCAACCTCCATACCTCCAGAACGCATATACCTAAACATGCCCTTGGTGACAATTACATAACCCTACCAAGCAATCAGCGTTGGGGCAGGAATTCAACGGATAAAAGTTTCGGATGCGCGAGGCACAAACAGCCGGCGTTGCCCGTCTCGCATTTTGGCATGCGTGCTTGAAATTTGGTTCCCCATCTTTCTGGAAGGTTCTTCAATGGATCAAGGTCACCTCAAACCTTGGGGCCATCCGAATGGCAAGAGAGTGCTTGCGTGTGATCAGCCTTCCAGCTGAACAAGGTCGCGAGCCACGAGCTGACCCAATGCAGAATGACATCAATCCAGCCCACCCCCTACCCCCCATCGTCGATTCACCATGCCAGGAAGGTATCGGGCTTTAATTTTCTCATTCCTTCTTGGCTTGTTGTAAAAAAGCTACTGAACCATCTTTATCCTGCCCATGGCTGTCTCATCCCTGATGGCCACTTTGACCGCCTTCTCTCCTGGTCAGGGCATTTTCATCGTGAAAATCGTTCCTTGGATGCGGCTTGCGCCTGGCCACAGCCTCGAAGATCTCCCCGGCTTCGGTGTTCTTCTTCTCCTCAGGGGCGCGGTGCCCGTGTGTGTGTGTGTGTTTTGTTTTTGTCTTTAATGATTCTATGTTGGTGTTGTTTTTTTTGGTTTTATTTGTTTTTATTTATTTTAATGCTCTATTTTATGTCTGCTGCTTATGTTGCTTCATGTTGTTGGGTTTGGATGGTGACCTGTCTCCCCCAACCAAGAGAAAGCATCCAGCAGTCTGGGTAAGCAAAACCCATCATCTGCAGGTCCCTCCGCAGCCGAAGGACTGTGCCAACCAGGGGCTTTTGCCACACATGGAACTTTCCGTGCCGACTGTTGCTCCCATGGCCTGAGGCAAACTTAACGCTCATATGCTCATCCCCCCTTCCCTCGCCTTGCGGCAAGATGGCATCAATCCCCAAACTACTACCCCCACCAAAAACTCGGGGAATACTACCCCTTACCAAGATCCTAACAAACACAAGACGGGCCCCTTGTGATAGCAACATGGGTTCCCATGATCTCGCCACTTAGGCCGTCACAAAAACGCCAACTTCGCCATGGCCGCCGCCAAGTGCGCCGAGCCGCTGCGACGATGAGCAGGGCGGCTTTGAACTGCAGGAAGTCGATCTTCCGAAGGCCTGGAGATCGATGGAGGGAGCTGGGCCCTATGGTGGGTGGCCCTTGGGTTTCCCTTTAATTTGACCCGGGATTAATATAGCCCTGCTATTAGAAGGTGTTCCCTCCAAAAATGATGAACCCCCCACTGAAAAGGGACACCCCCTACAAATCAACCAGGGTTTTACCCGGACAAAGAATACGCAAACCCACTTGGATGTCCCAAATCTGTCCACTCTGAGTGCACCTCAACTAGCCATGGGTCCCATGACATGCAGAGAGGGCGAAATTACCAACTGGGGACTAACTTGCTAACGGAATCAAAAGGGAAGAGCAAACAAGATATCCCCCTCGTTTATGATGTATGGTGAGGAATGCTAGGTCAAACTGCTTACAAACGAGGTGGTGCTGAACAGCCAGCTTAGCTTGGACCGACAAACCCTCTGAATTTATGAGGGACCCGTAAGTCTTGTACAACAAGTGAAAGCCTTCCAAATAAGTCTCAAGACCTCACATTTATGAAGTGCACGAAGTGAGTGCCCTGATCTGCACTCAGAGATTGTTGTTCCCATCCACTGCAGTAGGTGCAGTTGAACAGGACCCCATCTGCGCACTCTCGCCAACGGATGAAGTCCAAGATTTCTTGCCGCATGCCATTCAGCTACGCCGGCTATCAGACACAACCCTGACCGCTTCTTACCATGGTATAGCGATTCTCCCCTCCCCAAAGGGCCGCAGCATGTTGAACCCATCAAACAACACCCTTGCTGCTTGCACGTTCTGGGAGAGCCTGAATGGTCTCAAGTGGATTGGGCCATCACCCTGGAAGTGCCTCAATGCATAAATGTGTATGCATCTATGGCAACAGTATATATATATATGTGTGTGTGTGTGTTGCGTACATATCGATTCAAACATCTGACCATATGATGCATTGAACATGTATGCCACACATGCACATGTGATAATTAACAATGTACAATTTTGCATCGCTGCCTTGAAAAATTGTCTGCCCGCGTGCGCGCTTGTTTCTCGACGATCCCCCACCCCACCCCGCACATGTTTCTTGAGGTCAGCCGGGTCCTAAACCCGCCCACTGCGTTTCCGTCCGGGCCTTTGGACACAACTTTGGCAAAGGTCAGGTCTGCGTCCTCCGCGGGGGAATGGCCGTGGCTTTTCGTTGAGGGTGCCCTGATTGAAACGAAACCAAGGGAACTGGAAGTTCCCCCCACTTTTTCGTCTTCCGCGGTAGCAGGCTCAGCTATTCATTCAAGCCGATTGCGATAAGAACTCAGCAATCTCCTGCATCGTGGGGTAGTCAAACATCAATGTACTTGGCAGCGCTAGCCCGGTCTCCTTCTGCAGGTTGTTGCGCAGCTGCACTGCTGCCAAGCTGTCGAGACCGCTCTCCACCAGTGCAACGTCTGCAGCAGGAGGCTCATCCACCAGAGCAGCGACGACCTTGCGCAGCATGCCCCTCACATCAGCGACGGAGAGAGCGGCCAGAGACTTTCCAGCTGGTGGGGAAGCGGACGCTGCGGACGCTGTGGACTCATACGCTGACTCGGCGACTGGTGCCGGCCCCTTCGGCTCTGCACGAGCCTTCTGGACATACTCCAAGGCCTCCATCAACACGTGGGCATTCACACCTCCAAAGCCGAAGGAGGACCCGCAAGCCTTCAAGGCCGCATCAGGCAAAGCCGCGGTCTCACCGCAGAACAGTGTGGGCGTCTGCGCAGTGTCAATATTGGCATTGAGGCGATTGAAGTGGATCAGTGGCGGGATGTGCCGGTCATTCAGGAAAAAGATCACCTTCAGCAGCGTGGTGATCCCTGCTACGCCCTCACCGTGCCCTTTATTGCACTTGCCCGACATCAGCACCAAAGGTCCTTCCCGTGGGCCGTGGACCTTCTCAATGGCACCCGTTTCAATCGGGTCCCCCAGCTGAGAGCCATTGGCTTGGCACTCCGAGCCAACCAGCTCCGCCGGCGCCAGCCCGGCGCGGCGCATCGTCTCCCGCAGCAGCTCCTGCTGCGCCGGCCCGCTGGGCGCTGTGAGCTGCGCGCTACGGCCATCCTCCATGACTTGGCTGCCTCGGTAGATGGCCATGCCCTCGCGGCCGCGCCCGAGCACCACAGCTCCGCAGCCCTCCCCCACGACGTAGCCGTCGGCGGTGGTGTTGAAGGGCGCAGAGCAGCCCCGCCGCGATAGCAAGTTGATGGCGCAGCGGCCAAAAAACATGAGCGGGCTAAGCAAATGGTTCACACCTAGAGCGAGTGCCAAGCTGGCTCGGCCGCGACGCAAATGGCCGCCAGCCATGTCCACAGCAACCAGGGAGGAAGAGCAGCCTGTGTCCATGAAGACAGCTGGCCCCCGCAAGCCGAGGATATGTGAGAGCCGGCTGGCCATCATTGCAACATTGCCACGGTCGAATACACCCGCCTCCGTCATGGCGTGGTCAAAGTTCATGGAACCAACATAGACGCCGCAGGAGCTGTTGCGCAGGCTATGGCGCGTAAACTTTGCAGCCCGTACGGCTCGGAAGCCCTCCAGGAGTGAAGAGCGCTGCATGGGGTCCATGCTCGGCGCCTCCTCCTCTGTGAGGCCAAAGAAGCTGGCATCAACCGGGCCCGGCAAGCTCGTGCAGGCCGCATGCTTGGTGTAGATACCGGTTCTCTTGGAACCGTGTGGGTCGTAGTACTCCTCGTGATCCCATCGCGACTTTGGCAACGGGGCAGCCAGATCCGTGCCAGCAGAGAAGATGGCGCGCAGGGCGTCAAGGCCATGACTGTACGATGCACCTTTCACCAGCAGCGTCCCGCCGCGCTCCGCAAGGATCTCTTTGGCCGTGCGGCGGGGCAGCTCGCGCGCCAAGGATGCTAGCGATCGCGGACTGGCTGGCAGCTCCATTCATGACCTTTGAGCCAAAACCGAACCATGAAGAGATGGGGAAGCCCGCAAGACGAAACTGGGCCCTCCGGATATGAAATGCATGAACCCGAAGCCCTTGTGAATTCCAAAGCCTTTTGAGTGCCTCTCGTTGCGTCGCCGAGAACCCTCCGTCAAGCGCACCACATGGGCGAGCTGTTCGGACAAGGAAGTGATATCAATCCATTGCTCATGCTTGAGTTGCACGCTTCTCTTGCGGGGCGACCCCCTCAAGGATGAGTCCTCCGGAAAACCTTACATGCCCACTGGGCCCGTGGCAATGAAAAGCGAAACACGCCCGCCTTTGTTGTTGCTTGAATTTAGAGGGGCCCAAAGCAGCACCATCACTTTCCGGAAGCCAATCGCCCTTGCAACACACTTGTTCAGTGGCAACTTCTCCAGTTCAAACACCAAGCCTTGAAGCGAGTCTCCGCGAGCACCGGGTTCCCTGCCCAAGGTCCTTATACTGCTTCTCCCATCATCTTGGCTTTTTGGCCCTGCATCTGCGGCCGTGGGTCAAAATCCCGTACCCCCAGTGAACATCCCAATCCCAACTAAAATAGGTTCTAAAATGGGTGGTGCACCTACCCCAAAATGGTACTATTGGTTTTGACCCACAGCCATGTGGCTCGCCCCACCTCAAAACGAGGTCTCAGATCTTGGTTCATACCCTGCACGCCCGGTCCGTGGAGGTGAAGCGAGGCCCCACGATCTTGCTATCCTTCATGAGCTTCACGAAGCACTTGCCGTCCATCTCCTCGCTTTTTTTCCCCGCGGGGAGGATCGGGAAGTTCCTTTTGGCTTGTCCTGCCTCTGGGAGGAGGGAAAAACAAAGGCATTGGGTCCCACAATGTTGGTCTTTGACGCCACCAACCTAGGCAAATGGCATATGCATGTGTCTCGAAATCGGCAAAACGAGGCCTTTCCCTTGAGATGGGGAATCTGCGAGTGGATTGTCATTGTGCAACCGCAGTACAGGGTCACTTTACAACAACGTAACTGCAGCGACTGACAGAGGGGGACGTATACCGTATAGAGATTGATAAGGAGAGACATCAACTAGCAGTTCTATCTGAAGTCCGGGGTCTAAATAGGAACTTCTTTGCAAATACAGCGTGATTCAACTTAAATAGCATTTACACATACTTCAACAAGGAAATAATTCAATTCGATTCGGTTTGTCTTAAACTAGTAGAACTGAAATATCATGGTTCCCGTTGTTTGTTGGTTGTTTACTGTGTGTAGGGGGCAGGCCAATTGAAAGTTATACTTCAACAAAATATGTGGAAAGGAATTCCTGTTGAAGCATTAGCTTCAGACAGACATTATCATTATACTTGAATTGTGCCCTGCTTAAAGTTCAATTGTGTATTGTTTGTACCGTCAAACTATTTCGAGCCGAATTCCTTTCCACAAAAATGCAAGCATACATAGGGGAAACTCTTGGCATACCCCATGAAGAGTAAGCAACACTGCCAGCCGGCAAAGGTAAGTCGAACATCGAAAACAGGAGGACAAAAACATCAAACAATCGCGAAATAATAAACCCGGGGGAAAACAAAAAGCTGGCAGGGGAATCTCTTGGCATGCCCCATCATCTCTACTACAAGATTGCCTTTTGTTTCTTCTTCTTTTTTCTCCCTTTCTCGAGGTCTTTGTCAGTTTCAGGCTTGCAAGTGAGTAAGATCCAGACCTTTCCTTGTACGTTGCTTTCCCCCGACTTCACGAGGTTTTTTGTTCGGTTTCAGACTTGTACGTGAGTAAGATCCAAACACGTCCTTTCTCAGAATGTGCTTCTTAGTTTTGCAGTAAGGAGGCAAAGTGGCTGGAACCGAAAAACCCACCCCCACCACTCGCGGCATCCCTTTCTGTTTCCCTTGGGTTCCCCTTTGCAATAAAAAGCAAGGAAAAATTGCAGAGTCCAGGAAGTTCTGCCATGTACGGCCAGCAACGCTGAATGAGTTGAAGCGCGAGACCACAACACGGCCGGCCAGGGTGAAGTAAGGCTCAAAAACATGCAAAAATCCTGCACCAAACTTGCGTCACAGCCAGGCTGACTGCTGCTCACGTGCAACCAAGGGTTGGGGTGGGGGGGGGGGGCTGGCAAACCAGCAGAAGCAAACAGACTCAGGCCCCTTTAAGAAGGTACAGAAATGTTCTTCTGGTTGCAAGAATCAGGACACCACATTTCCTGGTTACCATGTTGCTGCTCTACACCCAGCCTAGCTTGGCAATTCAAAAAGGAACAACCCCTTGATCATGATAATCATGTTTGAACAGCGCGAATTTCTTGGACACCGATATTTCAAGTTATCAAGATAAGGTGTTTTGCCATGGTGTTCCCCTCAAAAAGTGATGCACCCCCACCAGAAGGGAACATCCCTCTACTAACCAGCCCGGGGCTCCCAGTACACCTTCTGTTCACTGAAGTTTGCCCTCCACTGCTCGAACCAGCCACAGGCAGTTCCACAGGCCCGCTTTCCCGCCCAACTCACCACCTGCCACAGCCTCTCTGCCAAGGGGCTGTCTGCCCCGGAGCGCAATAGGCCTCAAAAACGCTCTCCAGCAGCCCGCAGCCCTTGCCGCAGGTGGGTGCGCGGAAGGAGGGATGTTGCCTGCTAACTTGCCAAACATGGAAGTTGTGCGCCCAGGCTTAAGGATCCTGGCGGAGAAGGATGAAATCCCACTGTCTGGCCGCCTAGGGAGAGTAGACAAAGTGCCCAGCCGTCCCGGGCTCGTTTCGGATTTGCCTTGCGTTCGGTCAGCATCCCTTAATGGCCCCGAAGCTCAACCCTTTACCCTGCCTGCGATGGCGTGCCTATCCAGCAGGATCTTTAGGTGTTTCGGTATTATGTTGCTTGTGTTTGTCAAGGGGTCCATCCAGCGTAGACATGCTTTATTTTTTCACTGGTGGCTTTCCTCTTGGGCTTCTCTTCAAAAGCCACCAAACAAGGGCTAGCTCCAACAAAGAGGCCCCCCACCGGACGCGTGACCCACGCCCCCGCCCCCCGCCTCCCGGCGGCTGATGGTCTGGGCCTTCTCCATGGCCGGAGTGATGGGCCGCAGAATCCCCGTGGAGCTCGAGCCTGGGATCCATCGCTCCGATCCCCCCAGATGTCGCCCAGTCGTCTGAAGCTTGGTGCGGGGAGCCGAGCTGGTTCTTTTTATTGGGGGGGTCCTGTCCCGGTGTCCCTGAACCTGCGTGGGGAATCCGGCACGACTTTTGGAGGGGCACACCCCCCCCCTATAAATAAACTTCGGTTGAACTCATACGGGGTCAACGTTAGAAGCTGAGCTGGGTTTCCCCGGATCCTTTGGGCAAGAACCTTCGAACACCTACGGCCCCGCACGTTTCTTGCACGTGTTTACACAATTGAAGAAGCCCATCAAGGCAGGGTGAACCACTGAGTTATATACGCGCTAGTGGACCGGTACTGCGAAGGCGACAACCAGCCAGCAGAGGGGCCAAAAATGGCCGCGGGATCATAGATGGGTTTGTCCAGCAAAGCCCAAAATGGGCGCGGTTGCCTAAAACACACGCGTCTGCGTATGCATCTTGCTTGGGGGCCCTTGCTGCTGCTTTTTTTTGGGGGGGGATGCTCCCAATTCACACCCCACAATCTCCTCCCTGGCGCGTGCAACCAGCACCTTTGAGGCCATCGCCTTCCCTCTGCTTCGCCCGAGGCGCGGCTCAGCTTCCGCTCCACCGTCGCGGAGCCCAGGAGGTTCGGCAGCGCGCAGACCGAGGCGCCCTCGCGGCACTTTTTCTGCCGGCTTTTCGACTCCGAGGCCACTGGAAGCAAACCCAGGGGGAAACAACACTAGGTCCTCCAGTAGAGAGGTCAGAACAAGGGTACCCTTTTTTCTGTAGTCTATTTTAGTAGGGGAGCCCTCCCCCAAAAAAGGGGGAAAAAGGGCACGACTGGGGGACCAACAACCGGTGAACGGGTCGACTCTGAACAACAGGCGCCTGGGACTTCCACCTTGTAAACATCACCCCAGCATGGCAAGAAACACCACAAGTGGCGCGAGGCAGTTTTCACGCGCCTGGGGAAGGCAAGTGTTACTTTGGAGTTCTTACTTCTTTCACATGTCGTCCGGCCCCATTGCGGCATGTAGTCGCGGACACTCGGGGCCCCAGCAGCACCAGAGGAGCTACGGGAGAGGCGACGAGTGTCCTGGGCCCATGTGTTCGTGTGAATGTCGTTGTGCTAGCGTGACTTGCGCATCTATCGCGCTTGTGGCTTTTCAGTGGGGCTGAGGCCCATCAAAAGGACTTCTAGCTGTTGGGCCCCACACAGTGCTCCAGAGGGGTGTGGCTCAAGGGCTTACCCAATGTCATCCGCTCGCAAAATCACCGCAGCTCGCTCCCTTAGACAAAGACTTCAAGCGGCTCGGTGCGCCATTGTTACGCTAGAGGGCAACCAAGAACACCAACGAACACTGACTGCAAATACTCCTGCTCCATGCAACTAGGACAGTAGCTCTATGCCCGTCCTCTTATCCCAAGCAGCCCCCGAAGCAACACCAAATTGGTTGCCGCATCTACGACCCCAACCAACAACCAAGTCTGTGAATGAGTCAGTTTCGGAAAGCGCTACGGGAGATTCAAAGGATGATGCCTGGCATCCTATTTTGAATCTAGACCTCGTATGGGAATGTGGCAAAACTAAACATCGACTTGACGCCCGAAGCAAAACAAGAGGGCTTGCTACTGGACGACTGGTTCCTCTCGTAACACGCAGATGCCTCAAAATGGGATGACCTCCGATGAATCAACAAACGGCATCGGTTCTCTTTGCGGAAACGCACGCCAAAAAAGGGTTCTACCCTCACAAGAAAGGGCTTTGCCCTCACCAAACAACGTCTCCTCTCACAAACAAGTAGTTCCACCCCCCCCCACCCCCCACAAAACAGGAGCAAATCAATGCCCCCCCCCCCCCCCAAGCATGGTCCTCAGAACATTTCCAAGAACCCCGAAGGACCATTTTTTGGGTTTTCGCCCGTCCTTGCGGCTCAGACTGGTGCTGCTGCCGCCAGGCACATGGCCATAGCCCTGACCACGAGCCACGGGGTGCGATGCGGCCCGTGAAAACGGGCTGGGGCGCCCCTTTTGCTTGGGCCGACCTCTAAGAAAACCAAAAAACAAAGTTAAACAAAAACAAAACCCAGCAAGAACACAATTTTACACAAATCACGGCAAAGAATACCTGCCCGCCCACCCCGCTATCCGGTTCTCAGGTCGCAGTCTGAGGGAACCGGCCTTGGGCACAGACTCTGGCCCCCCGCGGGCATGGACGCCCGTGTAGGTGTTCTTGTCGTCGTGCAGTCGCACCTTAGCAGCGATGGTTAGATGGCGCAGCTGTTTTCTTGGAACCCCAAGCAGAGCAGCAACCAACCAGAAGCACCAGGAAGCAGGGAGAACACCTAAAACTTTAAGGGACACTTCCCCATTCTTTCCAGGGATCCTTCTTTCCAGAAAACCAGCAGAACCCGAAAAAAAAAAAAAAAAGAAGAAGCTGGTTTTCAAAAAGAACGATGGTTAAAAAGAATGGGGAATCAACCCCTAGAAAAACAACATTCTGGTGAGCTCGCCATCAAGCAGGCAGATACCATCTGCACCGCCTTCTAGAAGTTGGGGGAGGGGGTGGGCCTGGAATTCCATCTAGGGCTTTGTGGCTATGGTAACACCAAAAATGTAGATGGCCCAAAAGGAAGTCTGGCACCGGGCAGCAAAACACGGGGCATAAGGATGTTGCTTCCTTGTCATCGCATTTCTCTTCTACTCACTGCATGGATGGGCCACAAAAGAACAAAAACAGTTCAAACTCTGTGTTTGCTCTAATCTGGTCTTCCCAAAAAGTTTAAGAACTCAGAAAGTGAGTACAATAGAATCTTCAAGGACCCTCACAAATGCTAATCAAGTCTCTTGACCATGTTGCAGATTGTTGCCTCCCCATGAACACCAAAAACGCTTAAACAAAACGCCAAACTTCTGGGGCATCATGTTGCTTTCCACGTGCATGTCAAACGGCTGGCTTCAAAGTGGAAGGTGGTTGAAGCAGGAAGCCTAGTCACTGCGCTGAATGCGCCCCGCTCTAAAATCAATGCAAATCACTCGCCAGGGTCGTGGTGACTTGAGAATGGCTAAGTTCATCACACGCCAAGTATGGCTCTCTTGCACTGTCGGTTTGGTGCGGCCTATTGCCCCAAATAACCAACACAAGGAACCTGCAGCACGATCATTTATCAAGGACCCGCTGCTAGCAGAGTCTTGGCTGACCAGGCCAACTTGGAACGTTACGTTCAAATGTTGCGCCTTCAGATGCAGGCCAAATTCCTTCGCAACCCAAGGATCTCGCTGTTGGCTTCATGTTTGGCACAAGTCAACAAAGCGAGCCTCTTGTAAAGCCAACATTTCAGGCCCCCCTCTTTCTCATAGACCTTCCTCCCTTACGACACCGCTCCCAAGCTGCGTTCACGGCCTCCCCTTCTCCCGCAGCAAGCATCAGCAGTCCAAGGAGCAGCGCTCGTCTTGGTGCCTTCCAGGGATGGCCCGGCCCCGTCGGCCACCCTCTGCAGCACATCCTCCTGGCCGAGGGAAGCCGGGCCCAGCGTTTCGGTAGGCAAAGTCTCCCAGAAACGCTGCACAGCCTGGAGAAAATTGGACCCTGCACCGATCAATCTGCAAGGTGCTGGGGAACCTTCACAAAAGCCCAAGCTTGAAATTAGCCCCGTTCGGTGCGCTCGCAAGTGGTGCAGATTCATCCCGGGTTGTTCCATGGGATTGCTCGGATCTCAAAAGGTGTGCAGGGGCGCACCTGCTGGCAACAGCAAGTGACCCGGCTTCACACGGCTCAGAACATGCAGCCCCCGCATACCAAACTTCTCTCAAGTCCTGGGAAAGTGAATCCCTGGATCACTGACCTGGAGGAAGAATTCCTGAAGAATAGGGCTACGTCTAAGTTGCAAGCATCACCACTCCACTTGACTTGGTAGAAACCGAGGCACCCTTTTCGTGCGCAGCATGATGATAAACATGTCCAAGGATCGTTCCTCCACGCCTGCGACGCTCCCCCACTACCCTGCCTGAGGGCATCCCCGGCGTTCCGCAATGAGGCCCAAAGCCTGACCAGCCAACGGATTACTTGACATGGGTTATACACTCCAAAAAAAAGGGGACCCCTTAATGGGCATCACGGGATCCCCTGAAAAAAGAAGCGTCATGGGGGTTTATTTCACAATCTCCGAAATTGCCGGGCCCCTCGTCTGGGTTCCAAAATGGAAGCCAAAAGCCAGAAACAAGGACACAGCCATGGCAGCATGCAAGAACCCCCGTCAAGTCAGGCACAAGGAAAAGCTTTGGGCCCTACCATGCGGCAAAATATCGGTCGGTGGATCGAGTATATGAGCACTTGATTTAATAAGTTGGCCGCCGCTGGAATATAACTCCTGTGGTCTGAGAAGCAATGGGAGGTGGGGGGGTGGGGCACTGTGCCCCCCTGCAGACATGTCCAGTTCTTCCCATCCCCCCAAGAAATTAAGATCAGAAGTACAATTGGCCCGGCCCCTTGGCTGAACCTTGCCTTCTCAAACTCGGCCAAGGTGATCTTCCGCTGGCCCTGGCAGCCCAAAGCCGTGGGCTCAGCTGATTGAAAGGTCGGGACTGAAAAGTTAACCATTGTTTACCTGAGTGTTATCAAACTTGAGTCCTTGTCATTGTTCTAATTGGTTGGGGAGGGAGGGGGGGCTGGGGTTTTGGATTGAAGCTGGCGAAGGAGCGCAGCACCCAGCGCAGCACGAGTGGAAGGCATTGCCAAAGGCATCGGCTGGCTTTGTCAAGCAGGTGAGTCAGACTGATATTGTCACGTATTCTGCCTGATCCAGCCGCGAATGCTGAGAAACCTTCCTTCAACATGTCCATAAAATCGAATGCAGCGTAGCACCAACTACACACCCAACCTTTGACACTAGTTTTGACTCATTGTCAGGTCATGTCCGGCCGTTCAAGGCCAACTCGCCTGCTTCCAGCTGCGTGGTGCTTAGGGGTAATTGCAACTCATCATCACCTTACCAGGCGTACCAGTTACCACCAAGGGCAAATGTTTTGGCCTGATTTCCGGGAAGCCGCTGCGCCAGAGGCAAGACTGACCGCGCAATCCAACAAAGACCCATCCTTTGATAGCTCGATTCCTAACGCGGGAAATTCAGAGGAAGCACGTGACAAGAACAAACATGACTCCCTGGCACGGCGCAGCGCTCTTTCGGATTAGAATTTGTCAACGGTCACATGGTAAAAGCTCTCTCTGTGTAGCACAGCTTGTCAAACGGATTACGGAATCTGCCGAGAGAGAGAGAGAGAGAGAGAGACGGAATAAAAGAGGAGGCTACTGGCCGCTAAAACTTCCTCCACTTTGCGACTTGGCAGAGGCCCCATCCTGGATGCCGGGGTCCCTTCGGAATGTAAAGCGCAGCACCTCTGTTGGATGTTCTAAGGGATGGCAGGTACATTACCCAATCTCTTGCCGTCGCATCTTTTTTGGCGCAACCCCCACCTCGTTTCCTCCTATGTTCGCTTCAAACATCAAGCAAGGGAGCAAACTCGTTTTGAAAAGGCCCAAAAGGTGCTTGCATCACCCAAGACTGCTCTGGGGTCCACAAAAAAAAATCATATCTTCATATTTAGCCTACCCTAAAATATACATACATATATATATATATATACGCATCTGCATGTGCATTTTTACCCAAAGTGGCAAACCAACACGTCAAGCCTTTGGTTTGACCAGACTGTTGAAGAAAACGGTCAAACGGGGCGGTTGGATGGTCTCAAAATTGCGACCCGCCTTTCAATTGGTGTTGTAAGGGAAATCAACAGGACAGCCAGCTTCTTCAAGTGGAAGGGCAGCAAATTCCTGTCTTGTCCCGCCTTGGGCACCACCCGGGCGAAGATGAGGTCAGCGTCTGTTTGGCTGAAGCTTTTATCCTCGGTCTCCGTTTGGTAGGGGGTTTAGGGAACGCGGCAGGAAACCTCTTCAAGTCAAGGAGGATCCTTGGCAACCACAGGGCATCTACTGCATCCCCCCCACCATGCTTAGCACCAAATACAGGTCCCGAAAATGCCACACAACCAACACCTCACAGCGCGACGACTGCTATGATCTGGGTGGTTCAGCTTGGTTTGTGTCCAAGTGAGCCACAGTGACAAGAGCGGCTCGCTCTGTAATTCTAAGTTGGGCAGAGCACACAGGCCAGTCACTAAGTTACAGTGGGATCTTTCGTCAAATGGCAATCGGAACGTGAAGCTGCTTCCATTCAAGCCCTGGCTCGCGCCTGCCAAGCAATAACCTCAAGCCAAGGCCGAGCCGGCTGTACAGAGAAGACCTGAGCTTTGCCAAGCCCCGGGCCAGTAAGCTGCAATCTTTGCAGAGCTTCGTAAAGCTCCTGTCGCAGGGCGTGCGGCTTCGGGGAGTTGCAGGTCTGAGCTCGGGGTGTGCACGCTTGTTGGACGTGGGGAGGTTGAAGCGGCTGGTGCTTGGGGCTGATTGCTGGCAGCCAGTTTGGCACATCCTTCGAAAAAGCTCCCTTGGAATCCATACACGAGGATCGCTTGTGATTCATCCCAACAACCTACCGGCTCACCCCAAGAACAAGCCCTGATTCACACGGCCAAACCGAAGGCAGATATGGCCATTTGCCCATAGAATTTCAGGTGCCATCTTGCTGTCACGCAATGCCATGCTCTTAGAAGGACTTCCAGGCTTATGGCACGCTCTAATTGTTTCTCAGGGTGCTTGTGTTGAGTGGGGCGCCGGCTGATCCAAGGAGGGGAAGAAACAAGTTTCGGCACCGCTGCGCAGCCTGGCAAGACCAGACCATGTGTTTTTGTTCGCTTGCCGGCGGCCAGTTCCCCGGTTTTCCGCGCGTGGCCGCGAAAAGCACACCCTCTACGTTGATCCCCATCCCCGTTACCACGTTGTCACTGAAAAGTCGGACCCCCTTAGACTAGCCCCATACGCGTGCAGGAAATGGCAACCAAACGCCACCCAGCCTTCCACCAACTACCCCTGCAAATTAACCTGCAACCAAAATGTCTATTATATATATGTACATATCTGTCTATCTTTGGAGCCATCTTTTGTCACCCCCTGAAAGGGGGTTCCATGTCCAGCTGCGAGAGGGTTTTTCCACTCTCCCGAAACCAAGGGGGGACCATAGCACATCCCCCCTCCGTGCCTTCCGTCCACTTCCCCCGTGCCCGAGGCGTAGCTCGAAAAGATGGGCGCGATGTCGGCCATCTCCGCCATCTCAGCGACCGGCGATGTAGAAATCCGCGGTTTGGCCGAAGGGGAGTCAAAAGGAGGCGGTGGCAGCGGTGGCCTAAACACGCATCCCCTGAAAATGGAAGCAAGGAGGTTGGTTGAGCAACGGAAAAAGCTATGGCTCAAACAAGCCCAGTGCTTCCTGCACGTGCTCTAGCTCAGGCTTGAAGGCTTCGTTGTGGGGGTTGAAGGTTGTAAGGTCCCTGGGGAATGATCAAGGCCCCAGTGCTTCGAGCCACCAGTAAAGCAAGCAACCAGGGAACATCCATGTAAGACTTGGAGGTTTAAAAAAAAAAAAAAACGAAGAGTCTCCTACTAAAGTGGCAGCCTGAAGTTCTGGAAATCCTACAACTCCCGCACTGGAAATAAGGGAGCTTTCCCGGCAAAAGTGCCTTCATCATAGGTGAGCTTGTTGCCCCCCCCCCCCTCCGAGCTCAATCTGATATAAAGAGACTGCGAATTTGATGGGTTGCTCTCTGATTTCATGCAAGTACTCTCACCTGAACCGTTGAACCCAGATTTCCAGCCCCCCGCTCTTTGTGGAGACGGGAGCGAGCGGTTTTTCAGGCGGCAGCTGCCCGAGAGCGGGCGGGACAACACAAAACATACCGAGTGGGGAACATGCAGTCACAGCCCATGTACATGTCAACCCGCGCAAATACCCCAGCCCTTTCAAAAAAGAAAGTGGGCTGTATACTTTCCAGCCGCGCACTAAAAGAAGCTGGAAAGTTAATATAACATGACAGTCGCAAACAAACAAACAAACAAACAAACAAACAAACAGACTTCAGCACCCTGCGATGGCCGATGGCCGTCACATGGTACTTGAACATCCCTGGTCATGAGGGTCCTAAGACAGGGCTTCAGCCCAAACTCGCCGACTCATTTCAGCGAGCCGCTGGGCTCTGCCAGTGGCCTTTCCGAAAGCACGCCTAGATCTGGAGCCCAAAATTGCGGCGACCGATGCCTCGGAAGTGGAACCACTTTCTCTTCTCACGTGCCACCACGTGAGCCACCAAAAGGGGGGAAAGGAAATGAAGTACTTCAAACGAAGCAGCGGATTTCCTGGCATTGTCTCTGTGGTGAGCCTCTGGGTCTAAAGTTCCGTGTCGGCGCGGGGGGGGGGGGGAAGAAAACCTGGCAATAAACCCCCGCTAAGAGCAAATGTCCACCCAGAAAAAGCACGTGACCCAAAGGAAACTCAACTAAGATTGGCCCAAGTGGTGATGCTTCAACTGCTAAAAAAATACAAATGGTTTTTAAAAAACATGTCGGCACCTCTTTCTTTGGCCTCCCCCTGAAAGAAAACCCCCAAACGGTGCCCTTTCCCATATCTGGCAAACTGGAAGTACAGTTTTGCTAGCAAAGAGTCTTCCTGAGCTCAGGTTGCCCAAGTAAGTGCAGCCATTTTCTGTGTAGAAAGGTTCTGGCTGAAAGCCTCCCCGCCGCCAATGACTATAATTGGCCCAACTTCGTAACGTCACGAGTCATGCTTAAACACCAGGTCAGCCCGCAACCCAAGACCCCAATTGAGGGCAAATCAGGGGCTCCTACTTAATGATTTGCGGCTGACAACTTGCAAACTTGCGAATCCACCCGTTTGCGAATGCAACTTGCGCCATCCCAGCTGAGCCTGGAACGCGCGGCTTTGTGAGCAAAACTTTCTATGCCTGTGCGTCTTCCAAGCGACTGCAGCCACGCCGGTCGGCTTCGGCACAACGCCGGATGGGTGTGCGTGTCGCTTGGGCGAAAGTGCCCCCTGTGGCCGGCTGGTGGAAACACCAACAGTGCTAGGACAGCAAAGCCTAAAGAAGCAGCCTATGAAAGGAAGAGCGGCCTCTTGAGCTTGCAATGCCACGAGGAACGAGCTTGTCAGATCTGGCCAGCCAGCATCGCTGCACACCTAGTGATTGAGCACCTCTCGGTGCATCTCTACAAGAAGCAGTCACTGCGAGAACCTGCGCCGCGACTTGCCCGGGCATGTTGGGCGCGTTGGCCGCGAGGCCCTGGCCGCCGGATTTGAGCAACATGGATACCCTTTGGCTTGTTTCCTTTTTCTTGCGGGGTTTTAACAGGCCAACACAGGATACCACCAAGTTAAGACTTGGAAATAGGAAATGAAGGAGTTGGGGGTCAGCAGTAGTGGCTCGAACATGTTTCAGCAGGCAATAAGTTGCACAATATCCCCCACCCACCCACGCACCCACCCACACAGCCAGCCACCCACACACACACACACAGAGACAGACACAAACACAGACAAAGACGCGAACAGAGACACAGACACAGGCACTGGCACAAACACAGGCAGAGAGCGAGAAAGAGAGAGAGAGAGACGCACACACACACACACACACACACACACACACACACACACACACACACACACACACACACACACACACACACACACACACACACACACACAACACAGCACAGCACAGCACGGCACGGCACAGGCACAGGCACAGACACAGACACAGACACAGACACAGACACAGACACAGACACAGACACAGACACAGACACAGACACAGACACAGACACAGACACAGACACAGACACAGACACAGACACAGACACAGACACAGACACAGACACAGACACAGACACAGACACAGACACAGACACAGACACAGACACAGACACAGACACAGACACAGACACAGACACAGACACAGACACAGACACAGACACAGACACAGACACAGACACAGACACAGACACAGACACAGACACAGACACAGACACAGACACAGACACAGACACAGACACAGACACAGACACAGACACAGCACAGCACAACACAACACAACACAACACAACACAACACAACACAACACAACACAACACACACACACACAGACACACAAAATACAAAACCCTGGATGCTCAAGGGTTCTTCCCCGAATCACCCTTCCATTGCACATGTTCTTGAGTTCCACAAGGATCAGTCGCGCTCCCGTGGAGAATGTTCCCCTGATGCCCTTTGTATACTTCTTACTGTGTGCATGTCATGGGTACCTCCTCCAACGCCGGCCTCGGATGCCCATCACCAGCTGATCTGGCGGCGGTTTCGAGGTGGGGACCCCCCGACAGAAAGAATGAACAAGTGTTGCTCATTGCGGCACAGCTTTCAATCGGGGTCGGAGCCCTTTGTGGGGTTCCGTTCAATTCCGCCTGTTCATTTTCAAATGCAAATCCTTTTCAGGGAGGCAAACAATGAGGTGAGGAGAGGAAAATAGCCCAAACCAGGGTCAGGTTCCATATGAAAGAGTGGAAGCACGGCCCTGCCCTTGCATGATGGGCAGATCCCCATCCAGCCACCACTTTCTCGCTTTCAAGGGGTGCCTTGGCCACCTGAGAAGCAGGCCTAAAACATGTTCTTTCAAGACCCCTTTGTCAATGGTATAGCATCTGTCAGGATTTCGGGTCAGGGATGCGAACCTAGCAAAGGCATGCCTGACACAGGCCCATCCTGATACTCACGGCATGTTATGCTGGCAGCCGTTCCTTTGGCAACGGCCACCCATCCAAGGAGTCGAACCTGCCAGAGATCATCCCAGCGCACAGCCCACTCACCCCCAAACAATGCTCACCACCCACCCACCCGCCCGCCGCCCGCCCGCCCTCCCGCCCGGCCGCTCGCCCGGCCACTCGCCCGCCCACCCTGGCACTCAGAGCCATACACTAAAACAGTCCACCCCTCAGCAGGTCTCGGAGACATCAGCCCGCCAGACGTTCACTCCGGCGGAGGAGTTTTACGTCGGACGAAACTCGTCATCCCAGACTCAGCCGGAACGGACCCTACCGCCGCCCAAGTCCGGAATCTTCAACCCCCTCCCCCTCCAAAACAAAAAGCATGGGGAAACCAACAAGAACTGTTCACCTTAGAAAAGGCCACCAGCAAAAATCAGGGCTTTGCAACCTACGCCTCGTGTCGCGCGCCTGGAGCTCCAAGAGCTGCTCCGCACAGGTCACGGGCCAGAGGAGCCAGTCCAAGGGGAAGGGCAGCAGCACGAAGAAGTGGGTGAGCTGAAGCCGTGGGCGGGTTGGGGGGGGGGGTGGGGGTTTGCGGAGGTTTCGGGGGTGAAGGGGGGGTTTTTCTTGGGGGGTGAGGCCGGGGTGAGGGGGTTGGGGAAGGGTGCTGGGAGGTTTTCGGTCTATATGGCAACCTCCTTCTTGGGCTGTTTGCCGGCAAAACTGTCCAGTATGAAAGTGTAAATAGCACGGGAGCGGGGAAACTTCCAGTGGTCATCGCATGCAAAAGAGAGTCGCCGTTCTTTTCTGCAAAGTGTAGAATGAAGCCCTGACACGAAAAACCAGCCCCCCTGCGCCAGACTGCCCCAGCACGAGCCCCATGAAACCCAAGCCCTCTGAGCCTGGAAGTAGAAGCCGATGATGGCCAAAGGATAGCCGATGGCCTCGTCCAGGTAGGACTCATCCGCGATGAAGGGCCTTCAGGATTCCCCTTCCCAAGGTGTAAAGTGCGAAACGCGAATCTTGTGGTTTGTTGAGGTTCATTTGCTGGAAAAAGCTGGTCAGGAAAGAAGGGGTGAACAACTCGGTCCAAGGAGGGCCGACAACAAAAAAGGGCCCTATAAATAAGCATTGGCAAGCTGGCATGCCTTGGGTCAAACGGCAATCATCCCGGGATCAAATAAGGAGTCTTGGAAAAGCAGATAGTCAAGCCTGTCCTTTCGGCATGCTGTTGGCAATTCAAGCGCCAGCCCAGCTTGCACTTGCAACCTGCCCCCGGCTACGCACTCCGAGGTCAGAACTTCTTCACCTGAAAGCGGGCGGCGTGAGACGTGCCAGGGCCCCTCGGCAAAGGCCAAATCGCCATAGCTCCCAAGAGAAATGCCTGAAACGGGTGGGCTGGTGGGCCAAGCCCGGATAAGCCGACAACAAGTAAGCAAACTGCCATCCGACACAAAACAAGGAAGTGCACAACCTCCTTCTGTTTTTTCGGAAGGGGCCTCACCTGTTGGACACTTGGATGCCAGCTGTGAAGCAATGGAGGCTGAGCGCAGGGCGAATGGGAGCTTTTCCGTGAGGCCCCACTTCTGGCTGATCTTCACAGTGGCCTGACGCGGCACCCGCCGGACGCCAAAGAGATGAAATAGACAAGTAGAACTGAGCACTCGGATGTGTCTCTTTCAGGGCACAAAAAGGGGTGGTTGCCCTTGAAAACCATTCAAAACGGGTAGCCTCGCAGAAGACGCACGCTTCAAACTGGCCCAAAAAGTGTTCAAAACCACCGAGAGGGAAATTCTAGGGCACTATAAGGAACCCTGTTGAATTGTACCAGCTTGTTGTACCATTTTCAAAGTCAGCCGTTGCTGGAAGTGGTAGTGACAAGAGAAACACCCCCCCAAGCTTCTGACTTTGACCCCTAAAGCCGTCAAAATAGCGAGCTCGGTTGAAAGGCAGGGGCGCTGAACGCACTGGTAGGTTGCAGAGGAGTGCCCTCAAAGGGTAATTCCCGTTGCCCACGGTCACACGATCATTGTTAAGCCGTGCTTGCAGGGGTAACAGCTGGCAGGGCAAAGTCACCTGCAAAACGCAACCAACAAATCGCGAAATGCGTACTGATTGGGTGCTGTGACGCTGTGAAGCCGAGCTCCGAACAGCCCTCAATTGAGCCAATTCTGGGCACGCCCCCGGCCTCGCCCAGCATCTGCCCGCCGCGAAGGCCAGAGTAGAATGCCGCCCTGGCAACACTTCAACTCCCCGGGTTCGCGCGAGAAACCGCTTGACAGGAGCCAGCCAGTGAAAGGAATGGCGCGGAGCACTCGCAGCTTCACATAAGCTCCACGCCAGATCCAGGGTTTTGAGCAGGATGCAATCACGGTTGTCGCCATGGCCCCTGCCCCCCCTCCCCCACCCGGTCCGGCCGGCCGCCCACGAAATTTGAGAACCCGAATTCGCGCTGCAACCTGCAGGTCATTCCGTCAATGTGCACAAACGGGCAAGCAGGGGCCTGGCCCCATCGAATTCTGGCTGTCACAGGGCCCGCGGGGACTGCTCAAGCTCGGTGCTCCCTGGAAGAACTTGATGTCTTCAAAACAGCCGTGATCTCATGATCTCTTGGCGGACTGGGCTGAGCAAGCCCAGACTTCAGGACAACTTTGGCCCCGATGCCACGGGCAAGCCCGCATTCCCCGCAAATCCTGTTGCTCCGAGTGACGGGCACAAACGGGAGCAAACAGGGGAGCGAGGTCCCAACCGCCGGACGCTGATGGCTCGCATTTTGAGCGCCCCATGCCGCTGAGGCGGTTTCTTTTGCTTTCCCTGCGCTCCCGTCACAAGGCTTCAGGTCTGAAAGCCGCCGCCCAGCAGCAGCAGCAGCTCCCTGCGCCGCTCCAGGATGGACTGCTCCTTCTCCAAGCGTTCCACCTCTAAGAGGTCCGCCTCCTGAAGGGACGGGGGGCCATAGGGGGCCAAAGGAGGCTGGAAAGTGAACAACATCTCCGTCCCCTCGTGGCGCCTTTTGGTGGAATTCAAAAGCATTGAGGGCTATAAAGCACGCATGGGATTCGGGGTCTGACTGGAAGGTAGTTAACCGGCTTGCAACCAAGAAGTCAAAAGAGGGCCGTGATGTGCCGAAAACCGACTCGTGGAGGGGGGTCACGTGATTTTGGCGACATGCGACCACCTCCAGACACTGTAGAGAGGCGGAGGGATGTGCAGGACAGCGTTTAGAAGGGATATGGGGCAAGCGTGACTCCTGGTCATAAAAGCAACACACTGATCTGATCTTCACAAGACGCTCCGGGCCATTATTGAACAGAACCCAAGTATCCGGCCAGGAAAGAGCGAGCACTTGCTGCCAGACCTGGCCTACCCTCCGATTCTCTTGCCAACCTAAATTATCCAAAAGAAACACCCATGGACACGTAGACGATACTTTGCAAAGCACAAGACTTAGACGCCAATATCCTACAGACCTACTAAAGAAAACTTAGCCGTCCAAGACCTTCACAAAGAAATCAAACCCTCAACACCTTGAACGACCTTAAGCACAAACCCCAAAGTCCCCCCCCCCCAGAAAAAAAAAGGGACCCACCCTTTCTTCTCCTCGGGGCACCAAATCGGCCCAACCTCGGCCCCCGAAAGGCGCCTCTTGCCGCTGCAGCTCCCTTGCGGCCATCTCCCGGCGCCAAGCTGCGCGCTCCTCCGCCGCCGAGGCCTCTGAGCACCTCGCGAGCTCCCGGGTCCCGGGTGTGGCATAGGGGATATGGCCATGAGTCAAAACCCCGTACCCCCAGTGAACATCCCAACCCCCACTAAAATCCCGACTAAAATGGGTGGTGCACCTATCCCAAAATGGGATCCCATTGGTATTGAACCATGGCCTTTGACCTTTCATGTGGTAGGTCTGACGGACTTGGCTCCAAAAACCATAGGACTGTGACTTGTCCTCCATGTGCTTGAGTATGGCAAGTTTTCCGGGGAGCTCAGAGAATGCCCTCAGAAGAAGCCACATGCCGACATCGGGGAGTATGGAAACGCAATGATCCGTAATGGTCCACCCGTGGTTCCGGAAATATGGAGCCTCACGAGCTTCACTGCTTGACCTAAACCACTCCGGAGTGTGGAAGGTTCATTCCTATCTTTGGAGAACCAATAATCCCTTGGTCCAGGAAGAGGCGGTTTTATGAGAATCACTCCAGACGCCAGATACGGGTCTCAACAGAACAGTTCGCCATGCACGAGTGCACGATGCCCTTAGTTGAATCAGAGCTTGGCGGGCCATCCCAAAGCTTTGGCTTGGCAACTTGTATCAAAAGCAGCTGGTGCTCACTTACTTGCGTGCCATCTGAATGACCTGAGCTGTCTGAGTTTGTGAAGGGAGCTAGAACAGGCATCACATGCAGTCAGCCACCACTTGGCAACAGTCAGACTGCCACAAGCTGTAGCCTCCGCCAAAGAACTTACACGAACACTGAGATAGATCCCTCCAGCCGGAAACACCCTTTGACCAGCAAAAGCACAAGGCAGGGGAAAGAAAGGGCGCCCCTTTTAGATCGAGCTCAAAGCAGAACCCAACCCAACCATCGTTCAAAGCTTCTTGCCTTTGCTTTTGTAATCGGCCACACACGCAGACAAACACATCTACGTCCAATGCGGTTGGACCTGCGGAATCCCGAGAGGCCCTTCCTTTCGAGCGGCTGGAACTGCTCCAGTAGCTGCTGCTGCGACCGGCGCATGGCCTCCAGCCACGCGAGGGCCGACTCCAGCTGCGCCTCGGGTGGCCAGTTCGGCTGCCATGTTTTAATGTTGTGCCTTCCTTTTCGTATTGCTAAAAATGAAGAAAGGAAATTATCTACTGGGGCAGGTGTCCCAAGTCAGACAGGGAGGCTTGTGGTGTACTCAGGGAATTCAGTCGAGGAGATAACAGGGGAAGATAGGGTAGAGACCAGCATCAACAGCAAAGAGCAAATCGAAAGGATCACCACAGCGGCGAAAAGCACATCCAATTGAATCTTATCTAATCAGGCACAAGGGCCACCGTGTACACCTCAAGCCCCGAATGGCCTCGAGTCTGGCTGCGATCAGCGGGGGCAGCCAACGCCCAACCGCGTTTTTGTTCACCTCCCCACCCACCAGGCCTGCTGCGCTACCTGCGCTTCCAGCCCTTCCTTCCGCTCTTTCCTCGATTGGGCTTCCTTAGCGCAGGCGGTGCTGGCACGATGCGCAAGGCTGGTCCTGATTTTGGGGCGCCAAAGCTGGCCAGTGTACAGAAAAACGACCCATGGCTCCCTTCCCGGGAGCGCCCGGGTTTAAGTCCACAGGGTTTGCTCAGAAGAATGAAGGGATCTTTAACCAGCGGTGGCTCACTTTCCAGGTTTGCTCAGCTCAAAAACTGGGTGATTGTTTGAGGGTGCCAGTCTTCTTTTGAAAAGCAAATCTTGGTCAAAAGAGAAACCAAAACCACAAATAAGTCTTCCCACTATTTTGACATATTCCTGTGGGCCTCCTCATTCTGTCCAGGGATCCTTGGGTGGTGCACAGACTGTGCCGAAGAAATGGGAGAAGGGAACTTCACACCAAGTGCTGCAGAATACCTACCATGCTTACAGAACTCCTGGTAGCTCCCTAGCTGCCTCTTTCAAGGCAAATGTTGGATACCCGCAGCTTCTTTCTGGGCTCCCTTCCACCAGCTAAGTGAGCCCAGCGTCGAGCTCCAGCCGGTGCTGCTGCCGCAACGCCTTGTGCTGCGCCAAGAGGTCCACCTCCGTGAGGTGCGCCTCGAGCACGCGCGCGAGAGACGCCGGCGCCACAAGAAACGGGGGGCAGGAGCAGGAGGTTTGCCAAATAACGTAGGGCTCGGCATTTTGTCCAAATATCTTCTGGAGCAATGGCGTGACAGTAGCAAATCTTAGACACTCGACCGATTTCACCGCACTCTCCGTCATCATGTTTGTGCGAACCTTCCATCACCACGGCACTGTCCAAATCGCTTAGGTCGGTGATTGGCGTTCTCGAATAATAGACATCGTGCCGCGAATCAAGCGGTCTTCCCCTGGGCATTCAAACTAGGAGGCCTTAATAAGTTATTGCCGTGATGTCATGGCTGTTGTTGGTGTCCCCCCATGGAAAACGTGAGTGTAGAGGAGGGCCTTAATTATGCGGGGAAAGGGATTCTGCTGGAAGCCGCTTGGAACCCTCCTGCGGGCCTTCCCACCTCGTTGCTTCTGCCGACCAATTTAGCCAAGCCAGCCCTGCGCCTGAACGCTGTCCAAAATCTGCAGGCTGCTGTAGAACCTTGGGTGGTGCCCGGCCCGATTGATTCGGAGGTAGGAATGAGAATCTCGAATGAAACTGGGGTGCCTGGCAGGCTGAAGAGCACACAAACCAACTAGCTACGTGGCAAGCCAACCTGCTAGCTGCTTATCTCCTCTTCAGCCTTTCAAGGAGGATCTTCGATCAGGCTAACCCCTCCCCACTCCACCCCTTCGGAGCGTGCCACAATCTCTGACCCCTTCATAGACGGCGCGCGGGGATTGCCAAACCAAGACCTTTTTCAACGGCGCAACGACCCAAGCGGGGCTCGATATGGCGACAATCGACGCATTTCAGCACACCTGCAAATCGCACCTGAACTTTTCAGGGACCTCCCTGAAAAGTTCAGGTGCATCAATCCTGGCCGACTTTGGACAACTTCCCCTCCGGGGTGCTGCTGCTCCAGCTGCCTGGGTGCCAGCTGCGGCGCAGCCGGCGTTCCTGCGGCCGGCACCGGGGTGTCGTCCAAGGGCGGCAGCGGGCGGTAGGCAGGCAGCACGGGGAGGTCGTCCATGAGGTCCTTCGTTGGTTGGCGCTACCTTCATATAGGAAACCACAAGAAACGTGAAAGCCTTGTTAAGCTTGCAGCGCCTGGCCTCCCGGCCAGGCGAAGCGTCTTCGCCCTCCGAGGCGACGCTGGGCCTCCCAGCGCTGGGTGGGTGGGCTCCGTCCGCCATTGCTGTGTCTGGCGAGCTGCCAGGCCCTGGCGAGCTGGGTGGAGGGCCAGGGGCCGGAGGAGGACTAGGAGGGGGAGTGCCAGCGGAACTGGCGGCTGGGCTTTCAGGAGGCTTGGGAGCGCTGCCAGGGCTGCCACTGAGGCCATCATCGGGCGCAGGGCGCGTCAAGTCTTCCTCCCACTTTGCCTGCAGGGAAATGGGCAGGCAACCCTCCGCGCTTCACCCCGTTTAGTCTTTGCAATTCTGCCTCCTGGTTGAACACCCAATTTCCTCTGGGAGCCGCGCACATTCTCATGTGCCATTGCAACAACCCCAGGCCCTGCCTCACGCGCGCTCATCTCAGCACTCGCGCCAAGCGCAGCCTGAATTGCGGTCTCTGTAGTTGGGACGGCTTGGGCGCTTGGAGCATCTAGGCCAGGCATTGGCCTTGGTGCAGACATGCCGAAGAGGTAGGATCCGTTCTGAGGGGCGCCCCTCAGTGCCAAGGGGCAAAAGGGAACAAATCCGAAGAATTTGAACAACTGGCCCACTCCCCCAACCCCTGGGGGCGAATAAGACTTCTTTCACCCCAGAGTCGGTCCAAGGAATCGTTGGAGCTTTTGGCTGGACCTGCATAACCGCAACAGCCAAGCGTAACATCCTGCCGAGCGGCGTGCGCGCCCCCTTGCGGCGCAGCGCCTCCAGTACGGAGACGTCATAGTCACAGGCCGTCGCCTTATCCGTCGCCGTCGCTCCGCGGTCGCTCGGCGGCGCGCGAGGCGCCGCAAAGGGCGGCAAACGGGCTGGGAGAAACGCGCGGGGCGACGAGGCAAAGTCTCTGCCCGGGCTGTCGTCAGGCACCGTCGGGGGGCTAGGAGCCGGGTGCCAAACATGCGGCACCTGGGAACTGGCCATGACACCCTGCGGCAGTGCAGGCACAACCTCCCACGTCGACATGGCCTCCAGCTGTGGCAAGGGGGGTGAGGCAGGACTTCCAGAGGTGGAAGTTACCTGACCTTCACCTACCACAATGTCTGGCTCTGCCACGTGGCCGTGTGGCGCGTCCGCCACCCACAGCTCCTGGAATGGTGGCGCGTGCGAAGGCGCCACAGGCGCCACATGCCAATGGTGGTCCAGCAGCGCTTCCGCACACTTGGGCTTCAGCGGCTCCTCCTGCGGGCAGAGGCAAAGGGGCTTTCTGATGGCAAGGGTCAGGTAAGAGCCAGGCTCGCGACAGCTTTTGCACGCAGCGATTTCCGCACTGGACAGGACTACACAAGTTCGATGCCCGGAAACTTTGCCAATTCCGCCATGGCGCACGGCTTGCCCTCAGGCAAATCTCGTAGACCTGCCGCAAGTTTGCCCGATTTTGCTGGCTTGAAGGCTGCAGGAACCGAAAAGGATTTGTCCTTCCTCGGAATGAAGAAAGCTCATCTGACCAACCATTGTGGCAAAGCTTCCCCCTACCACAGAACATGAAGACCCCCGGTTCAGCCAAAAGGGCAGCTCCCGTTCCCTAGAATAGGCAATGACCTTGTTTGATACTCTTACTAGGGAGGAAACCAGAGGCCCGACCCCACAGGGTTTTCTCCATCAAAGCAAAGGACCCTTCCACCTGCGATCCCTATAATCCCCACCTCCTCCGTCTGCGTGCCCGCCGCCCGGCAGTGCCTTTGCGCCCTCCGCAGCTCCAACTCCTCCCGCGCGCGCTGCTGCGCCGCCAGCCGCAGCTGCGATGCCAAGCTCCGGCGCCGCGGCGGCGCCGACATCGCCGGAGCAACTGGCGCCGGGGTGGGGGTCGGCGGCGCTCGGGCCACCTGAGCGAGTGAAGCCATTGATCTAGGGGTTGATTCCCCATTCTGTTCAACTATTGTTCTTTTCAAAAACCAGCTGTTCCCCTGCGGTTCTGATGGCCTTCTGACAAGAAAGATGCCTGGAAAGAATGGGGAAGTGTCCCCTAGGAGGTCGTTCTTTGGGGGGTTGGCATTTCCCCCAACTGGCTGCGACATGCGGCCTCGCCCTGAAGCTCAGGCGGCTCCAGCCCTGCAGCCGCACACAGCTGCAAAAGCTGCCCCCGCACCTCTGCAGCCAGGCGCCCTGCCGACACGGCACTCTGCGCACCACGTAGCGCCGCAGCCGTCGGCCGGGGCTTGGGCTTGGCTGGGCGGCCTCAAAGGCTTTTGTGGATGCACCCGGACAGCCGCATGTTTGGATTGCGGCAACGGACTGTTCAGTTGGAGGCTTGGGTCTGGGCTGCCTGCCCTTACTGAAAGCTTCGCCAACGATCTTGTAAAATCGCAGCCTGGCGGTTCCAGGTAACGAAACCTCCTGATATTCTTTGTTGGGCCCTTGAAATGCATGCACACGGGCATCCACCTGAAACCGTCCCCAGTCATCCCAAACCCTAAGAAGGCCCTGCGCAAACGGTCCGCTTCTCAAAACGGCCCACACACGCGGCGAAACCTGGAGCTGCAAGGCTTGATTACATGGCAGTCGCCTTCCAACAGCCCTGCCCTCCTTGCAACTGCCCATGAGCAAGGTCCACACCATCACTCCAACCCCAAGTAGCCAAATCGCAGAAAGGGTACCAAGTGCTCGTGGCATCCCCGCGCCTTGCTTGGGCTGCGCCCGGTGGGACCCCGGCGCCGCCTTGGCTTTCGCCACCTTCGCTCGGTCGGGAGCTGGGCCCGGGGTGCCCGGGGAGCCCGGGCCGAGCTGCGCGCTCTCCGGCAGCTGGCGGAAGATGCCTCGGAAGGACCACTGAAAGAAAGGAGACGGAAACACCAGGAGTGCCACATGTGTCCAACGGATTTGGGGAGAGCAAACATCAACTCAGGAGAGGGCTGGAGAGCCCAACAAAAATCAGCGTTCTCTACCCTACCACCTGCTGGGATGCGGGGGGGGGGGGTCCAAAACCCGGGTGTTTGAATACGGGGTATGGAAAATGTCAATCCTCTTGTTATTTCTTTTGGGACATTTGAAGCATATAAGCTATTCAGCACCCAGAACCCACCTTCACCGGTATCAATCCCTTGCCCCCTGCCCCCAGCGGCGACACTTCCTTCTGGTACCAGCATGTGGGCACCATTGCCTTAAACCCCTGCAGCCATCCCTTCCAGATGTGGACCCCGCATGAATCCAAAAGATTCATCAAACTACAAGGAAGTCCCGGATCAACTCCAATACTAAGTTGGAGCAGGGAACGCCCATTGGACAACTGGGTTCCCATTTCTGTCTTTCCCACTAACCCGCGAGCCAACCTTGAACAACCTCTGGGTGTCTCTTTTTTGGTGACACCCCTTTTAGGTTTAGAGGAAAACCAAAAGCAAACCACGATAAATCAAAGGGCGGGGGTCTGTGAAGAAACGACACGCCCCTATTCCTCTCAAATGGGTTCCTTCTGTGTGTGGGTGCTCGCGCCTTCGGCATTCCAGTAGGGCAGGAACGTTGACGCGATCACCTTCTCCCGGGTCCGCCGTGTGGCCGTGTGCACATCCACCCAGGGAACCATTCAGCGGTTCGAGGACCGGCAATCTGGTTAGCACTTAAGGCGCGCCAAAAGAAGTAAAAAAAGGAAAGCCCCGGCTTGACTACTGACTTGTGGGCTTCAGCCTCACTAGCCGCTTCCTGGGACTCCAAAGCGCTGGAATGCTTGCAATTGAGTGCATGAAGAGGTTTACGTGAGGCTGAGATTTGAAATTCGCAGTTCATCTCGGGTCAAAATCCTTTGTCATGTGCGGCTCCTCCCATGATGTAAGCTTGGGCCAAACAGCAGTTCCAGCATCAGATTCAAGCCACTGCTTCCACCTGCCAGCCCGGCTCTTCCAAACAAAGCTGCCTGTAGGATGACATTGTTCCACAGGCTCCAGCAAACCAGCTACAAAGCGCGATTCCTTCCGTTGCCCGCCCCCCCCCCAAAAAAAAAAAAAAAACATCAAACACGGCGTGCCTGATCTTCGCAAAGAACCACACCAACATAATCAGCAGCGCCTGGCGTCGGGCACGTGGCCGCATGCAGTCCAAACAGGCCGGCCATGGCCAGGCGTCACGGCAATGCCCGCCGCACCCCACTCGCATCTTGGGACATCACTCTCGAATCTGCTCGGAAACCCATGGGTGCCAAGTGAACAGCGCAAGTGGGCGTCGCTCAGTGCACAATAAGAAACTCCCGCAACACAAATTGGGTAAAGCACAGGGTTGGGGGGGGGGGGGGCTATGGGAAAAACCCATGCATAGAGCAAACACACGTTTCGGAAGAAATCCTGATGCAAGAGCCTTTTTTCACACTAGCACGCTTCTGCGCAGAGCGCCTTTGTACAAGCGATGCACTTGCGCAGTCAGTGGGGGGTGGGTGGGCCAAGGCTGAAGCTGTTGGCCTTCCTGGGCGTTTTCATTTCAGGATGGACTTGTGCAACACGCAACCGGAATCTCTACATGTCCCGCTTGAACATCTCCAATGGCTGCCTGGACCCCCCCAAACAAAAAGGGAACCCCCCAAAAACAAGGCCCCTAAATCGCTATTGGCCCCCATTGGGATTGGGGGCCCCTTTTGAAAGCCGTTGACAACCATAGGAACGTCACTCCACCAGAAAGAGACTCAAGCGGAGAAAGATGTACAGAACCCTGAAAAAGCGTGTTCATTTGCTACAGCGCCTGCTTCAGAATTTTCATAGCCCTTGTCCATTCCCCATTGAACAGCTGCCATGCGACGTTTTTCGCGAATCGCCCAAGTGGCAAACATGGTACGGACAAACATCCCAGAGGGGGACAAACAGGTTTGGCCAACCTTCCTCAAAATGGCAAGGACATCACAATGGTAACGACATATTTATTCTTGTTCTCGAAACTTGATGGTTGGAATGCCCTCAAAAGCCCATGCATTTCAAGTGCCCAACCGATTTTATGCTCCTCAGGTTGGCTTCTGTGGCGCGACTGCGCAGGCCCTAGCAGCCCATGAAACACGCCACGGGCAAAGCCACCACTGCGCAAATGAGGTAAGAGATCCATTTGCCTCAGCCGCGGCAGCCAAGGCCAGAGGCATAGTTCTTGCCTTGGGTCCTTTGAACGTTGCCATATTCCTCGTGATTGGCGCCCCTCTTGTGAAGGATAGCAATCAGAGCAGAGGAAATGATGGGCGTTCAGGGCGGGGGCCTGGATTTCAACAAAAGAGTGCGGCCGCCCTGGGTCAAACACCAATATACGGCTGTATTGTGTGGGTGTGTGCGTGCGGAATGAGTTGACTCGCCAAGAAAAACATGGCTAAAATTTACGAAGCAAACATCAGCCAGCCAATAGCTTTCAAGTCTGCCAACTCAGCTCCTGAGGCAGAAAGAACGATGATTGCAAAGCCATTTGCATGAAAGCTGCCCTACACAATTTGCAGCCATCGCCTTGCGAACTCAAGGCTTGCCGCCTCAAGAAGGCTAGTGTAAAAGGAGGCAAGGGTGACCTTCAGCCTTTGCACAAAACCTCCTGCTGTTCTGCAATTTCCGCATTGAGAGGTCTCAAAAAATATGGAGCTTCCTTTTGGTTTCCACTTAAAGCCGGCCAAATCCTTCCGCTCACCCACCCATGGCTCACTAAGTTGGTTGCCCCGGCACGGCCAATGCTCGAACCCATGCGACAAAACAATTTGGACACCCCGGTGGTAGTACCACCACTACTCACAGAAAGCGGCCACCTAAAACCATCTTTCCACCGATCCGGGGACCCTGCAGGGCACCGGTACCACGTAGGTGCGCTCCACAGCAGCAAACTTCAGCTCCTCCAAAGCGCCGGGGCCCAAAGCCGCCGAGGACTCGCAGATCCTCGGCTACACGGACGGATATGAAAGTTGTTGGGGGGGAGCCAGCAGAAATAGGCGACACGGCAAAGTGTTCAAAACTTGAGTGCTTTGTTTTGCGCCCATCACACGCTTGCCCGGGCGCATGTGCAAGAAGTCCCAGCGGGAGCGGTACCTGACCATCCCGAAGAAGTCCCAGTCCTTGAGCTTTCCCTTCTCCGCTTCCGCAACGTCAGGAAAGATGGCCGGCTGCGACCTCTGTGGCCCAACTTTTCCCCGTCACAAGCGTGGAGGTATCCTTCCCGCGCGCTTCTCTTGGCCAAGTAACAAGTAGCGGGTCGATCTACAAGCAGCGTAGGGCATTGGAGGTACTGGCACTGGTGGGCATGTCTTGTTTACTCAAGGATAGCCTTGGCGCTGGCAAAGTTCAAGCCGCTTACTTCCATGCAAGCTGGACCCCTTTCAAGCACTTCCTGCAAGAAACGCGGCCTTGCCTACCTGCGATCAGCCTTTTAAATGAAAGCAACAACAAGACCTACAACCCACCCACCCACTCACCCACCCACCCACCCACTCACCCACCAATAAACAAACAAGGCAGCCAGAGCAAACCCCAAACAAGAACAAGACCACCACCACCAATAACAACCGCAGCGACAACAATGACAAGCACAAGAACAAGCACAAGAACAAGAACAGTACAAGGACAAGGACAGGCACAAAAAGAAGAACGAAAGCAAGAGCAGGAAGCGGAAAAGGAAGAGGAAGAATAAGGGAAACAAGACGCACAATAAGAAGAACAACAAACAGAAGAACAAGGCCAAGGAACAACGCCAGCAGTGGCAACAACAAGAGCAACAAAGCTACAATAGAGATGAGGACAAGAACAAGAACAAAATGACAAAAACTGTAGCTCCGCTTTGCGGGTTCCATGCGACAGGCGTCCCAAAACCCCGTGCCATCACCATCCAGGGCGCACGGTTGTCGAGATCAGCAGTGGGTGCCCGGCCCTCCTCGCAACCCGGCGGGGGGCGCGTAAGAGGCATGATTTGCTGTGTAACTTATATTGGCGTACACACGAGCACTCATTTGGCTGGCCCTGAGCCTAAAGTTTCTGTAAGGGAGTGAGGAACCTTAGAACCGCAACCCATTGGGCAAAAAACCTCTTCCATGGACAGGTTACCACCAAGATATGAGATACCATCATAGACCTAGCCAGGGGAAAGGCTGTGTTCAACCTCCAGCTTCTATATCATGCAATGCGAAGCGGATTCGTCAGGCATAGGGCGCTTCGATCCCATCGTGCTCTTGAACAGCAGCTGTGGAATTGAAGGCCAACCCGCTGGAAACCGGTCAAATCCCAGGGTCAAATCCCCTCTAACCCCCCCCCCCTAGACCGGCCAAACCCCCCTCTTGAAACCAGGCACATCCTCTCAAACAACCGGCCCAACCCCCCCCCCCTCTAGAAACCTAATCCCCTCTAAAACCGGTCCCTAGAAACTGGCCAAGCTCTATAAAACCAGTCAAATTCCGTCCATATTGCTTCAGGCTTCGCACCTAGCCAATCGGAAACGCGCGAACATGCACCCGCCCTCCAATACACAGTACCTCAAAAGCCAGCCCAAAGCATTCTGACCGAGGCGGGCAACGCGAAGCATTTACAACAAAAACGACAACATCACGCCCAAAAGAAACATGACAGCACGCCTGGCCCCCAATTCCATTGATTGAAAGGGGTGCGGGCGCCCTAGCTCCTGAACATGTGCGGCGCCAGCTGGCTGAAGTAATGAAGCTCAGCATCCCGAGAAGTCCTGGCACTGTAAGCAGGAGCTGATTGGAATGACGCTGGGCAGATTGATGTGAAATTATCCGCATATATTGTGCCATTGCCTTTCAATACGTTCAATAGGAATCGTCGTCTGTCAAAAAGGGCCCTGCTAAACAAATCTGCGTCCAGGCTCTGCACATACTTGAAGTCACAGGTGGGTGGTCTGATTTACGTTCCAGCCCAAGCTTTAGACCACAATACCGCAAGATCACAGCCTCCGGCAAAGCGAAATCACCAAAGCTGAGCAGGCCCTCTCCATTGGGTAGCACCCTTACGTCATGGGGACCCGAGAATGGTGGCTTTCCTTTGGTTCGCCATTGAACCCATGCAAAGGAGGGTACCCCAAAAAACGCACACACACACATATATATATATATAGCCCAGTCTTCACCCAGGCTGGTCGTAGGGAGGCGTTGGTGTACAGGGGCTCTTTCCGATGTCGGATGAAGTTCATCATCAGGAAGGCCCCACCTGGGGCGTTCGTCGCTTAACTTATTGGCGACCGTCTGCTTGCCATGACTGGGTTGGGAATTCAAGGGTTGGACATTGTTCGTATCAGTCCCGCATTGCCAAGCCATCTCACCTAGCATGTCAAGCTCATGAGAGGCCACAAGATATCTGGCCTTCCCATATCAAACCATCTTCGGCCCAAAAACTCGGGACTCAGTGAGATGCAGCCCAGAATCGGAACAGGCAAAACAACATGCCCAGTTTGAAGCCCCACCCCGAAAATCCACCTGGCTTCCAAGCTGCCATTATCCTCCGTGGAAGTCATGGCATCCAAGATGTCCTTGGGAAGCCACCCTCCCACAAGTGTTCTCTTCCCTCCCTCCCTCCCTCCCTCCCCCTCCCTCCCTCCCTCCCTCCCTCCCTCCCTCCCTCCCTCCTCCTCCCTCCCTCC